ATTCTGAGGAGTAGTCGCTCCAACCGTCAACAACCATGCAATTCAACTCGTCGTCCTCTGCATCTTTACCAACGCCCACGCTCACAGTCTCTCTCGTATCACTAGTGAACCCTGATGACAAAGCTATATCACGTTCAATCATACGATCTAGCATGTCAGTTCCCATGTCACTTCTGCACACTGTTTTTGCCAACCTGGCGTCCACATCGTCTGCCATATCCAACCTACTACGCAGTTCCAACAACTCTTTCATGGCTGTGTCGCGTTCTCTCACAACTTCGTTTACGCGCGACTCCCAGTCTCGACTGGCTATCGCCAACACAGTGTTGCAATGCTCTTCCATCGATGTCTCAAGCCGACACACTTGATCCCGTAGTGCAGAACACTCGTCACGAGAAGCAGACAGTTGACTCTCCAGATCTGACATTGCGCAAACCTTCTCGTGTCTATAGGCCTCCAGTTCCTCTCGGGCAGTTGACGCCTGTTCGACTGCCTGACGAAGAGCTGTTTGCATAAACACCATCTCAGATGCCTGCTTATCACACAGGTCTCGACACTTGCAGAGCTCCTCAGACAGCTCACGGTTCCGGTCGCACAGTCTGCTCATCTCACTTACCGAATCCCAATCTTGGCCTCTCTGCATCGACGTCACTTCATGAGACTCTTGTAGTCGCACAAAGCTATCAAGCATAACAGTAGACTCCAAGTGTTCTGGCCATGTCATTGTCTCACACTCACGGTCCACGTGTTCAACCACACCATGGGACAACCCTGTTGTGACGGCATCTAAACACTCCTGCACTCGTTGTTCGTGCTCTCTGCACCAATCTCCATAGTCGGAACGCAGACCTCTTATATGGTCAACCACAAACGCCAACAGTGCTTTCGTCTTGGTCACATCATTCTCCAAGTCAGTAATCACAGTCATATAACTCTCTAGACGACGCTTCAGCGACTCACACTCACAGATCAGGGCATTGTTCATTGACTCACATTCTTTCAGTTTCTCAGTGACTGCCTCCAGCTCGGACGATTGTGTATCCAGTGCACGCTGCAAATCCTCTCGCAACCCGTCTGATGTGCAACGGTCAGTCGACGAGCCTTCGTGTGCATAGTCGATGTCTTGCACTGGTGACGTGGATCGACCAACTGTTTCGCACAGGCGATGTGAAACCCGTTCGTACTCACTCATTCTGTTCGCCATTTCGGCGCGGTCAGCATTCGCCTCAGCATGTGCTGCACGCAATTCTCTCACCTGCTTCAACAAGAAACCCAGTGATCCTCTGACCTCATCCATCTCCATGCACACATCGTCCAACAGTGTCACGCGCTCTGAAATCTTACTTCGTAACAAGTCTACCTCTGTCATCAGCTCTTTGTTGTGCTTCCACAGTGCATCAGCTTCCTCCGTCACTTTCATCGACCGGTCAGGCACACGAGAACTAAGAGGCATCACATCCATCGGCTTATCTTCACACATCATAACGCCTTCCAGCTCACGCAGACGCACACTCAACTCTGTCTTGGCATTCTCAAGTTCGCAGATTCTGCTCATGGCCTCCTTCAATCGCGCTCTTAGGCTGTCTGTATTCAACAGGGCAAGTTCGGGATCGTCATTGTCTTGTTCACTCGGCGGTTTCGTCCAACTCTGAGTGGCGTGAATGGGCAAGACCACTTCCTCGTTCGAAACGCCCTCAACACACAAGTCCGTAGTTTGCCTGTCCATTCGATCAGGCACAATGCCTGACACTGAGTCGCTTGCAACAGTCTCCACCAGCTGCATGTCAGGAACTCCGGCAAACACGTCTGCCTCCACTCTGTCTGTGTCATCAACCTCTGCCAACTCACGGACAACCACATCGGGCGCCTTTCTCACAGTCTCACAAGGAATCCAACAAGTTGTCTCGTTCATCATCATACGTGACTCCGGTTCCTGCACTTCGGTCTGTTTCATGCTCAACTCGAGCTGTGAACGCTCCAGAGCCGCCAACGTCGCCGCATTTTCCTCACGCAGATGGGCAACCTCGAGCTGCAACGTCGACACCAGGTCAAAAACTTCGTCGTCAATCTCCGTCTGCACACACTCCTCCTCCACAGCAGCAGCAGCAGCAGCAGCAGCAGCAGCAACGTTCGGTCCACGACACTCCACGCACATCGCCGACACCTCTTCCTTGCTCTCCAACACATCCATATTTGCACGCATTATGTCCAAATCACGTCGTTCTGCCTCTACAGTCTCCCTCAACGCATTCAATTCGTCTCGTAAATGACGCTTCTCCTCTCTCAGATCCGCCACTTCACTCTCCTTCACAGTCAACAAACGCCGGACATCCATCAACGAAGCATCACTCTCCTCCACCGATCTAGACAGCTTCACTATCTGTTCATAACAAGACGTCAACTCTTCGCGCAGTTGACCAACCACATTCGACTCATCTTCACACAAACTTGAACTCACTAGCTTCTCTCTCGTCATCTCCACTGGACTCCTGGTCGACTGATCTACGGTCGACTGATCGGTAAATCCTGAAGTTGACAATGTGTCAGTAGCCAACCAAGACACGCTGTCTGTCGCTTGAGTCGCCACACTCACAAGTCTAGTCGGAGAACCAACCGACACACTAGGCTTGTGCTCGTCGTGTATGCATTCTGAGGAGTAGTCGCTCCAACCGTCAACAACCATGCAATTCAACTCGTCGTCCTCTGCATCTTTACCAACGCCCACGCTCACAGTCTCTCTCGTATCACTAGTGAACCCTGATGACAAAGCTATATCACGTTCAATCATACGATCTAACACGTCAGTTCCCATGTCACTTCTGCACACTGTTTTTGCCAAACTGGCGTCCACATCGTCTGCCATATACAACCTACTACGCAGTTCCAACAACTCTTTCATGGCTGTGTCGCGTTCTCTCACAATTTCGTTTACGCGCGACTCCCAGTCTCGACTGGCTATCGCCAACACAGTGTTGCAATGCTCTTCCATCGATGTCTCAAGCCGACACACTTGATCCCGTAGTGCAGAACACTCGTCACGAGAAGCAGACAGTTGACTCTCCAGATCTGACATTGCGCAAACCTTCTCGTGTCTATAGGCCTCCAGTTCCTCTCGGGCAGTTGACGCCTGTTCGACTGCCTGACGAAGAGCTGTTTGCATAAACACCATCTCAGATGCCTGCTTATCACACAGGTCTCGACACTTGCAGAGCTCCTCAGACAGCTCACGGTTCCGGTCGCACAGTCTGCTCATCTCACTTACCGAATCCCAATCTTGGCCTCTCTGCATCGACGTCACTTCATGAGACTCTTGTAGTCGCACAAAGCTATCAAGCATAACAGTAGACTCCAAGTGTTCTGGCCATGTCATTGTCTCACACTCACGGTCCACGTGTTCAACCACACCATGGGACAACCCTGTTGTGACGGCATCTAAACACTCCTGCACTCGTTGTTCGTGCTCTCTGCACCAATCTCCATAGTCGGAACGCAGACCTCTTATATGGTCAACCACAAACGCCAACAGTGCTTTCGTCTTGGTCACATCATTCTCCAAGTCAGTAATCACAGTCATATAACTCTCTAGACGACGCTTCAGCGACTCACACTCACAGATCAGGGCATTGTTCATTGACTCACATTCTTTCAGTTTCTCAGTGACTGCCTCCAGCTCGGACGATTGTGTACCCAGTGCACGCTGCAAATCCTCTCGCAACCCGTCTGATGTGCAACGGTCAGTCGACGAGCCTTCGTGTGCATAGTCGATGTCTTGCACTGGTGACGTGGATCGACCAACTGTTTCGCACAGGCGATGTGAAACCCGTTCGTACTCACTCATTCTGTTCGCCATTTCGGCGCGGTCAGCATTCGCCTCAGCATGTGCTGCACGCAATTCTCTCACCTGCTTCAACAAGAAACCCAGTGATCCTCTGACCTCATCCATCTCCATGCACACATCGTCCAACAGTGTCACGCGCTCTGAAATCTTACTTCGTAACAAGTCTACCTCTGTCATCAGCTCTTTGTTGTTCTTCCACAGTGCATCAGCTTCCTCCGTCACTTTCATCGACCGGTCAGGCACACGAGAACTAAGAGGTATCACATCCATCGGCTTATCTTCACACATCATAACGCCTTCCAGCTCACGCAGACTCACACTCAACTCTGTCTTGGCATTCTCAAGTTCGCAGATTCTGCTCATGGCCTCCTTCAATCGCGCTCTTAGGCTGTCTGTATTCAACAGGGCAAGTTCGGGATCGTCATTGTCTTGTTCACTCGGCGGTTTCGTCCAACTCTGAGTGGCGTGAATGGGCAAGACCACTTCCTCGTTCGAAACGCCCTCAACACACAAGTCCGTAGTTTGCCTGTCCATTCGATCAGGCACAATGCCTGACACTGAGTCGCTTGCAACAGTCTCCACCAGCTGCATTTCAGGAACTCCGGCAAACACGTCTGCCTCCACTCTGTCTGTGTCATCAACCTCTGCCAACTCACGGACAACCACATCGGGCGCCTTTCTCACAGTCTCACAAGGAATCCAACAAGTTGTCTCGTTCACCATCATACGTGACTCCGGTTCCTGCACTTCGGTCTGTTTCATGCTCAACTCGAGCTGTGAACGCTCCAGAGCCGCCAACGTCGCCGCATTTTCCTCACGCAGATGGGCAACCTCGAGCTGCAACGTCGACACCAGGTCAAAAACTTCGTCGTCAATCTCCGTCTGCACACACTCCTCCTCCACAGCAGCAGCAGCAGCAGCAGCAACGTTCGGTCCACGACACTCCACGCACATCGCCGACACCTCTTCCTTGCTCTCCAACACATCCATATTTGCACGCATTATGTCCAAATCACGTCGTTCTGCCTCTACAGTCTCCCTCAACTCATTCAATTCGTCTCGTAAATGACGCTTCTCCTCTCTCAGATCCGCCACTTCACTCTCCTTCACAGTCAACAAACGCCGGACATCCATCAACGAAGCATCACTCTCCTCCACCGATCTAGACAGCTTCACTATCTGTTCATAACAAGACGTCAACTCTTCGCGCAGTTGACCAACCACATTCGACTCATCTTCACACAAACTTGAACTCACTAGCTTCTCTCTCGTCATCTCCACTGGACTCCTGGTCGACTGATCTACGGTCGACTGATCGGTAAATCCTGAAGTTGACAATGTGTCAGTAGCCAACCAAGACACGCTGTCTGTCGCTTGAGTCGCCACACTCACAAGTCTAGTCGGAGAACCAACCGACACACTAGGCTTGTGCTCGTCGTGTATGCATTCTGAGGAGTAGTCGCTCCAACCGTCAACAACCATGCAATTCAACTCGTCGTCCTCTGCATCTTTACCAACGCCCACGCTCACAGTCTCTCTCGTATCACTAGTGAACCCTGATGACAAAGCTATATCACGTTCAATCATACGATCTAACACGTCAGTTCCCATGTCACTTCTGTACACTGTTTTTGCCAAACTGGCGTCCACATCGTCTGCCATATACAACCTACTACGCAGTTCCAACAACTCTTTCATGGCTGTGTCGCGTTCTCTCACAATTTCGTTTACGCGCGACTCCCAGTCTCGACTGGCTATCGCCAACACAGTGTTGCAATGCTCTTCCATCGATGTCTCAAGCCGACACACTTGATCCCGTAGTGCAGAACACTCGTCACGAGAAGCAGACAGTTGACTCTCCAGATCTGACATTGCGCAAACCTTCTCGTGTCTATAGGCCTCCAGTTCCTCTCGGGCAGTTGACGCCTGTTCGACTGCCTGACGAAGAGCTGTTTGCATAAACACCATCTCAGATGCCTGCTTATCACACAGGTCTCGACACTTGCAGAGCTCCTCAGACAGCTCACGGTTCCGGTCGCACAGTCTGCTCATCTCACTTACCGAATCCCAATCTTGGCCTCTCTGCATCGACGTCACTTCATGAGACTCTTGTAGTCGCACAAAGCTATCAAGCATAACAGTAGACTCCAAGTGTTCTGGCCATGTCATTGTCTCACACTCACGGTCCACGTGTTCAACCACACCATGGGACAACCCTGTTGTGACGGCATCTAAACACTCCTGCACTCGTTGTTCGTGCTCTCTGCACCAATCTCCATAGTCGGAACGCAGACCTCTTATATGGTCAACCACAAACGCCAACAGTGCTTTCGTCTTGGTCACATCATTCTCCAAGTCAGTAATCACAGTCATATAACTCTCTAGACGACGCTTCAGCGACTCACACTCACAGATCAGGGCATTGTTCATTGACTCACATTCTTTCAGTTTCTCAGTGACTGCCTCCAGCTCGGACGATTGTGTATCCAGTGCACGCTGCAAATCCTCTCGCAACCCATCTGATGTGCAACGGTCAGTCGACGAGCCTTCGTGTGCATAGTCGATGTCTTGCACTGGTGACGTGGATCGACCAACTGTTTCGCACAGGCGATGTGAAACCCGTTCGTACTCACTCATTCTGTTCGCCATTTCGGCGCGGTCAGCATTCGCCTCAGCATGTGCTGCACGCAATTCTCTCACCTGCTTCAACAAGGAACTATGCGGTTCTGTGGCGTCATCAGTGTGTGTGTTTTTCTCTCTTGAAATTATTCTTAATTCTGGATTTGTACTATTTGTTGATTTTTTTATAATTTTTTCATTGGCCTTATCCCGTTTTGACGCATCGGTCTGTTGATATTGCTGTTGTGAAAATTCGTTTTCTAATTTTTGATCGCACTCTATAATAATATCGTTTTGATTTCTTATAATTATGATTTCATCTTCTTTCTTGATTTTCAGGTTTTCTCCCTCGAATTTTTCCAGATGATTTCTCGTTTCTTCGTTAATTTTTATAGTTGTTTCTTCTGAGTACCCTGTAACATTATATGCTTTTGTGTTTGAAGACCATCCCATATGCTTGTCTGTGTTGTTTACGCAGTCTTTCACAAGCCTTTCTGATTTTATACTATATGGTTCAACGGTTTCTAGTTCTTTACTTGATAAACTGCGCGACATTACGGGAATATCTGATGCTGATTTAGCGTATGTCATACTGCAGGGTTGTCTAGGTGGTGGTAGTATCAAAGAACTGATGAACATTTTTTCGTCTTTAATATCCGGAGGCATTCTCCAAACGTGCGAAATTTTATCTTGTGAGAAGTCATCATGCGAAACGATGGTAACTTCATCACAGTGACAAGCATGTGATTCACTGGCATCATTCCTGTTTTGTTGAAGTGACTTATCCCTTTTTGAAGATGAATTTGTGGCAAATGTAAACTTAGATTCATTTGCATTAGAATCAACCATCATCGGGTCGACATCGGATGGACTTAACACCTTGAAACACGAAGCATCTAAAACTATCGACGATATGTATGACTTATTTCCATGAACGACGATATCACTGAGTTTATTGCCTACCTCACTGTCACTGGCTACAAGAAATTGGTCTGAATTAAGAAGATCACTTTCGCAAGTCGCTTGGATTTCAGAGAGCAGCTCACCATTTGAATAATTACGATCACTTTCTCCAAAATTAGAAAGATTACCAGACGTTTCAACCAACATACCATTGACTTCTAAACGAGAATTCAAATGTCTAACAGGTGGAGCCAGATTTAAGCTCAAACGTTTCTTCGGGAAATCATACTCACAGATCAGGGCATTGTTCATTGACTCACATTCTTTCAGTTTCTCAGTGACTGCCTCCAGCTCGAACGATTGTGTATCCAGTGCACGCTGCAAATCCTCTCGCAACCCGTCTGATGTGCAACGGTCAGTCGACGAGCCTTCGTGTGCATAGTCGATGTCTTGCACTGGTGACGTGGATCGACCAACTGTTTCGCACAGGCGATGTGAAACCCGTTCGTACTCACTCATTCTGTTCGCCATTTCGGCGCGGTCAGCATTCGCCTCAGCATGTGCTGCACGCAATTCTCTCACCTGCTTCAACAAGAAACCCAGTGATCCTCTGACCTCATCCATCTCCATGCACACATCGTCCAACAGTGTCACGCGCTCTGAAATCTTACTTCGTAACAAGTCTACCTCTGTCATCAGCTCTTTGTTGTGCTTCCACAGTGCATCAGCTTCCTCCGTCACTTTCATCGACCGGTCAGGCACACGAGAACTAAGAGGCATCACATCCATCGGCTTATCTTCACACATCATAACGCCTTCCAGCTCACGCAGACGCACACTCAACTCTGTCTTGGCATTCTCAAGTTCGCAGATTCTGCTCATGGCCTCCTTCAATCGCGCTCTTAGGCTGTCTGTATTCAACAGGGCAAGTTCGGGATCGTCATTGTCTTGTTCACTCGGCGGTTTCGTCCAACTCTGAGTGGCGTGAATGGGCAAGACCACTTCCTCGTTCGAAACGCCCTCAACACACAAGTCCGTAGTTTGCCTGTCCATTCGATCAGGCACAATGCCTGACACTGAGTCGCTTGCAACAGTCTCCACCAGCTGCATGTCAGGAACTCCGGCAAACACGTCTGCCTCCACTCTGTCTGTGTCATCAACCTCTGCCAACTCACGGACAACCACATCGGGCGCCTTTCTCACAGTCTCACAAGGAATCCAACAAGTTGTCTCGTTCACCATCATACGTGACTCCGGTCCCTGCACTTCGGTCTGTTTCATGCTCAACTCGAGCTGTGAACGCTCCAGAGCCGCCAACGTCGCCGCATTTTCCTCACGCAGATGGGCAACCTCGAGCTGCAACGTCGACACCAGGTCAAAAACTTCGTCGTCAATCTCCGTCTGCACACACTCCTCCTCCACAGCAGCAGCAGCAGCAGCAGCAACGTTCGGTCCACGACACTCCACGCACATCGCCGACACCTCTTCCTTGCTCTCCAACACATCCATATTTGCACGCATTATGTCCAAATCACGTCGTTCTGCCTCTACAGTCTCCCTCAACTCATTCAATTCGTCTCGTAAATGACGCTTCTCCTCTCTCAGATCCGCCACTTCACTCTCCTTCACAGTCAACAAACGCCGGACATCCATCAACGAAGCATCACTCTCCTCCACCGATCTAGACAGCTTCACTATCTGTTCATAACAAGACGTCAACTCTTCGCGCAGTTGACCAACCACATTCGACTCATCTTCACACAAACTTGAACTCACTAGCTTCTCTCTTGTCACCTTCACGGTAAATTCTGAAGTTGTTTGTGTGTCTTTAGCTAATGTGGATTTTGTTTCTTCAATTTTGGCTATTTGTCGATATTCTTTCTCTTCTTTGGACATTATAGTTGTTTGTTCAATCTCTGTCTGATTAGTTAATTTTAGTTCATTTATTATGTTTTTCTTTGGATTTGTAGATGAATCAATAAGTGAATTAGGATATTGATTATGATGATATATATAACATTCACTTTTTACCTTTTCATCATTTCTGTCGTAGCAATTATTTTCATAAGTCTCGTCGTTATTATATGGGACAATGTTATGTCCTGTTGAGATAGCTTTTAATTTATAGTCATAATCTCTTAATTCCTTGTTCAAATCTTCTATTTGTGATGCTTGCATAGCTATAAGTTTGCAGTGTTTTGTTTTTTCACTCAAAAGTTTATCTACTAAATGCTGACACAAAGTTAACTCTTCGTATATAACATGTAACGCAGACTGTAGCTTTTCTGTCAAGTTCAAATCTGTGATTTCAGGTTTGTCATCTAATAATCTATCAATTTCTTGATTGAATGAATAATTATCCTGTTCAATTTGTTCAACAAAAGTATCTTGTTTTCTAATGATTTGTTGTTGTAGAATTTCCTGTAATTCAGTTAGGCGAATAAGAGATTGTTCAGCTGAATAAATTGGGTATTTCTGATTATATTCCTCTGTATTTACTAGTAAACGTTTTTCATTATGAATCGGAAAACTCTTATCATCAGTAAGGTAGTGATCAGGTGATTCATATTCAATTTGATTATCTTGATCAGGTATATATTGATTTAAATTTGATATAATTGTACTGACTTGACTTAAAAATGCTTTAGTCAATGACTGTACATCGGCTAGTCCTCCATTATCTAGAATACATTGTAAACTAGTAAAATGATTATTAGATATAGCCAATTTAATATGATTTTCAATATCTAATAAATTACTATGCAATATTTCTACTTCTCTTTCAGATTTCTGTAACTTTGATTGTATCATTTCATAATCTTGTTTTAATTGAGATAATTCAAATGAACAGTTATCTGTTGTTAATTCAGTATTTAACATAGATTGATTAGAAATTATGGTTTCATTTGATATCACTTGATTTGTTGGCCATGAACTATGACAGTATTCAATTTCATATAAATTTCTATAATCTAACGGTATTTGTCTATATGATGGATCAGTCAATAGTCTAGGCAAATGATTAAAAGAATCAGTTTGTATAGATGAATCACAGATATTTTTATACTTATGAGAAATGTAACCAGATATATTGGATTTATATTCATCAAATGTGGAATTAACATTTCTTAATTGTTTACATAAGGTTTGATTAAAAGTTTGATATTGACTAACTAAATGATTATAAGAATCTTTTAAGTAATTAAACTTCCTTTGTAACTCACGTAAAGCTTCTTTATCCAATGATGATGTTTGAATAAGATCATCTGTTGATATTATCTGATAAAAGTGAAGGAGAAAAGAAAAACAAACAATGTTATGATTACTATTTATGACAAGAGTATCCATAACTAGTTGTATATAAACTTAAGAACATCATTCATTTTATAACAAGGAACAATTTCATACATTTAGTTACTATGATCATTTCGAATCAATCAATAATTGGGTAAGTTGATGAATCATTTTTATAGCTAAATATATACTTTCTTTGATGTAGTTTCTCCCAAATGCCCTGGTACGGCCGGGAATGGGGAGAGCCAGCTCTATCTCTCCAAATGCTCTCACGTGGCCACATGCATACAACCACTGACAGGGAAGTCCTACTCACTGACTTCCTGTGGCAGGAGTGTTGTTTACGAAAGGGAGAAAACGAAAAGCGAATATCCGGAGCTTTAACCGGGTTGACGGATACGGAGGATGCACCTAGGGGAGTTGGAAAATCCTGATTCCAAACCAGTGGTGTACATGGGCTTCAGAATCATGAGGGAACAAATGGCGTATGAACCAATTGTTGGTCACTGGCTACCATGGGACTGAATCTCATTACGATGCTCTATCGCCTTGTGAATTAGACATTTAGGCCGAAGGCTCCGGGTGTGCCTCCTTAGGAAAACCACCTGTTTCAGTTTGGACACCCCGGCAGCATTGTAGCCCTCGCATAAACCAAATGAGATTTGTGTGGAGCATATGTATTTGGTGCCTCCCTTGATGTAGTTGAGATGGATGTCTGAACTCGGACAAAAGATTATGAGAAAATAGAAGAAGACAAAATATAACATTAAACATAATAGTTGAAATCAAACGATATTAACATGTTAAAATTTTAACAATATAACGTAGGGCTTGAGATATAAACAGAATAACATGAGTCGATCTTATTTTGTTAAGTTTTCGTCAGCTACTCATAATTTATAACAATTTGGTGGGGTTTTGTTATCTCAGCTGGATAGTTCAATGGTGAGAATTTCATTGTTCTTTTAAACAAAATCATCAGTACAAACATCGCCAAAATCACAACTCTCCATCTGAGCTACAAATCTTCTCCACCACCTTATAGCATTTTATTGTTCAAAAATAATGTACGAGATTGTAGTTGGTTAGATGTGAATACGTATCATTATGACTGGAAAAAGATTCAAATAAAATTAAGACTGAAATAAAATGTTGTGAATAAATCCAGTGTGCAAGAGAAAATTCTAGAACACCAAACATAGTCATTGAAGTTCAAGGAGCTAGAAATTAACCAATTATGCAGTGAAATAGCGGAACATGTATTAAAGGTAAGTAAAAATAATTTGAGTTGAAATCAGTTCCCAAGAGGTATTTCCTGGAGTTCTAGTGAAAAGCCGTGACCAACAGAGTTCAAACGGGTCTGTTGTGAAATAGTAACTCACTGAAGACAATGATGAACGGTGGCCCCATTTCGTGGATTGGTTGTAGACATTAACACTGTTGGATGCCGGCCGCCTCAGTGGTCTAGAGGTTAAGTGTTCGCGTGCGAGACCGATAGGTCCTGGGTTCGAATCTCGAAAGACAAGATCGTGGATGCAAACTGCTGAGTGCTATACTAGAATGAAACGGCTGTCCAGTGCTTCCAGGTTTGCTATGTTGCTCTAGTTTCAATTGACTCATGAACTCAACTTCTAAGTTACTATAACATCTCACGGAAAGTTGTGCTCCCAAGGTTTAACACAAATGTTTCAAAATGTGTGAAGTTGCTGAGTTTGTTAAAGTGTTTAGAACCAGACACTTTTAAAACTTTTTCTGAAAGAACTGCGCTGGTTTTCTAAGTTGTCCATCATTTATGTCATTATTTAAACACATAAACATTGTTACAAGGAGGCACCAAATAGATATGCGCCACATAAATCATTCGATCTATGTGAGGGTTGAGATACTGTCCAGACCGAAACAGCCTTCGGCCTAAATGTCTAATTCACAAGGCGATAGAGCATCGTAATGAGATTCAGTCCCATGGTAGTCAGTGACCAACAATTGGTTCATACGCCATTTGTTCCCTCATGATTCTGAAACCCATGTACACCACTGGTTTGGAATCAGGATTTTCCAACTCCCCTAGGTGCATCCTTCGTATCCGTCAACCCGGTTAAAGCTCCGGATATTCGCTTTTCGTTTTCTCCATTTCGTAAACAACACTCCTGCCACAGGAAGTCAGTGAGTAGGACTTCCCTGTCAGTGGTTGTATGCATGTGGCCATGTGAGAGCATTTGGAGAGATAGAGCTGGCTCTCCCCATTCCCGGCCGTACCAGGGCATTTGGGGCAATACAAGAAACGTTTTTAAAATAATTCGTGTTAGAAATTATTGAAACTGAATTACTCCATTGTTACGATTAGGAACGTGAAATCATGCAGTGAACCGTTCTTTGACTAGTTATTAATCTATGTTATGTTCGATTAGTGGAATTATTGATTACTTTTATAGCATAATTAGACTTGAATATACGTTTAATAATCACATAAGAAAACAGGAAGTATAAAATGTTAACTATAAAAAAACAAAACAAACAAACATAAGGAGAAGTACTAATGGATTTATTTATGGTATAGGATAAATAAATACAGTAATTCAGTGAAACTGAAATGTTTGTTTACGTTGAATCATGATTTAATATTACTAAACAATTCTATGGTTAAGACAATCAAAATTGTATTTTACGATAGCCCTTTCTAGTGGATTGATATCATTTGGGAAACAACGAAACCTTGAATTGCTGACATGTTTCTACAGATAGAGCTTTCGTTCAATAGATGTTCATGATGTAAAAAGCTAGATCTTATTGACAGGAAATTATGCTAATTGTTTATGTTGAAACTGGAAATAATAAGTATTGTTTGAACTAAAGTTAGGTGGAGACTAACAATGAGACCCACAACACTCATTTCCTCGTATTTAAGACTAGTCAGCTGGATTTACTTGCACCCTAGTCTAAATACTTACATTAAGACTCGAACTCAGTACATTTCGTTTCAAATTCCAAGGCATTTTATCCACTGGAATAAAATTGCGTTCATCTGATGAGACCGGAACGCGAAGAGACGAGCATCCTGGATTTCAGTGTCAGCCACTACCCAACGTCAATTAAAGCTTGAACCTAACTGGTATCAAGACCATCCGCACACGATGTACACATCCTAAAAGATGCTAACTAGTCTCAGTGCTTAACAACCACAAAATAACAGCAGTGGTTAAGTAGCAGCTAAACAAGTGATACACTGAAACCTAAAGGTTGATTAAAGTAAAGGAATATGGTTATTCATTTAGAATGGAACACCCCAATTGACTCTAGACCTACACTTAGTGATAGCTAGCTTTCTAGACTCCTCCGATGACTCAATTATAACCAGATAGTTGTGTCAATATTTTTAGCTGCGACTAGGTACTCTTTCTCAGTATCTTGAATTACAAGTATGCACAGTTGGGATGTAAAACTCAGATTTCATCCTGATTGAAATAATCGAAAAATAGTAAACAAACAGTTAATGTATTCTAAATTTGAAACCGTTATATATGCATCTTGTGAGGATCAACTCGATATAGTCATTATGACACAAATTAATTTAGTAGTTTATGTATAACAGTGAAATCCAAGACGTATGTTTTGTCCTATCAGGTATTTATCAGCTAGATGCGTCTGTATCTAAGAGATAGTGTTCATTCTACTCAATAAAACAAAAAGTTTACATTTTCTTAACGATTTCTTTTGAAGTTTTATTAATATAGGTCTGTGTACTAAACATAGTTTATCCTTTATAAATAACGATAATATAATAAAGGTAAAGAAACAAACTTACCTGATCATTCATTTGCTTAACCTGTTGCATATTCAACTGATGATTTTGATCTTGATTAATAAACAATGTTAACAGATCACTTGTAGATGTACACATATCTGTTAAGTAAATTGATTTTGTTGCATACTTTGTACAAGAAGATAACTCTTCCATTTTGAATGATTCCAAATTTACCTCTTCAATATCTTTTATTTTATGTTGATTAGAAGTTAAAGCAGTAATAGTCGACTGATCTGTAAGGTTAGTTATTGATGAAACTTCAACAGGTATAGACTTATCAGTTGTGGTTGTTCTATTGATTTCATTAGCAACTAATTCTGGTTCAAAATATGTTGCTGTGGTTGTTGTTGTTGTTGACAGTGAAGATTGTGACTCAACTAAACTAGATGATTTAAATGATGAAAGTTTATTATTTTGTATATACCATTGAAATTGTTCAATAATATTATATGCTTCATATAATGTATCATAATCCTCTTTATTACTAATCCATAATTTAGATTTATGTAAATCTGTACTAGTTAACTTTGATTCTTTCGATAATATTCCCCATAAACGTTGAAGTAAATTATTAATCGAATTATAAACCGGTATTGTTGTTGTTGTTGTGGTGGTGGTGGTTGTTGAAATATCGATTGGCATTATTGTCGATTTTATTGGGAATATAATTTGATCTTCTATTGATTTTATTTTTGGTATAGATTCATAAGTTTGAGAACTTGATCCTGGATCTAATAATAATGATGATGATGATGATGATGGTGATGATAATATACATTGAGTTTGATCTGTATCAGATAAATAAGTAATTATATTATTATTATTATTATTATTACTATTATTATTATTATTATTATTATTATTATTAGATGAAGAATTTGTTGATGATAAAAAATAATCACTAATCAATAAATGATGATTTGTTTCTTCTAATTGATTTTTTTGTAATTTTTCATTTAATTGATTTAATTGATATTGATATTGTTTGATTTCATTTGATAAATCAATAATTTGTTGTTCAGCATGATCTGCTTTCATTTGTAAATCTTTGATATTTGGATCAATAAATTGATTATTTAATTGATAAGAATTCATTGAAATAATATAAAAATTAAGTAATGCATTAAAAAATTGTTGACATACAATGGGATAATTCATTTGATGATTTTTTATTTCCCAATAATTTAATAAATTCTGTGTAGCTAAATGAAGATCTTTTAATTCAGATATGAATGATTGTTCTATTCTTTGAACTGGATTCACAGTAACTATGACATCATTATCATTATTATTATTATTATTATTATTATTATTATTATTATTATTTATACCGGGATTTATGATTTTATTATTGATTTCTTTAGCAAAATGATGTAAAATAGAATCTGTGATATTGATATGAATATCTTGAGACATGGATTGAGTAATATGTGTTATGTAATCAGTATGAATAGAATTAGTATTATTAGTAGTATTATGAGTAGTATGTTGTTGATTTAAATTAGTATTTGTTTCAGTTAAACGTGATCTTAATGAATGTAAATATTTAGTTAAATTAGCTTCTTGTAATTCATATTCAGCAAATATTCTATCATTATCTTGATATAATTTAAATAATTGGTCTGATAAATATTTGATCAATGTATCACGATGTGATAATTCAGCTTCTAAACAAGCAATCTAAATAAAGAGATTTGAATAGATATAATGATATAAATCCAGAAGAAAAAAGATAGATGGACTATTTATTAGCTGTAAAAAAAACATTTGACTATACTCAGTTGTTAGGTCCCGATAAACATAATGAATGGTAACTTTTGGGATTCTTTTATGGACTAATACTAGACGTATATTTTTATCGTATGATTGTTATGTAACTAAACTATTCATATTCATATTCCTCTTATGATGAGCTTTATCTTGACCTATGAACCATTATTATACGATTTACCATTCTTGAGTTATACCCAGTATATTAATTACTACCTCCGACATTCACAGCCACATCTGGCTAATTCCTGTAAAAATGTTGTTTCATATTTTATTGGTACGTTGTGGTCTGTTTGATTGGTATATAAACTCAGTATGTTTAAAATATAATGATTCATATCGTAGAGGCTCGGATTGGTGTTCTGAACTCAACTGGCTGGGCTAGGCGGAAAGTAGGACTAATCAAGAATCTACGCTGCTCATACGGGTTTACGCGTCATTGATCCGATCGTTAATTTACTGCTTTCTAATCGGCGGTCACAAAATATAACATCAGTGTACAACCCGAGGAAATAATGTGTAGTGACTTAAGCTGAAAAGTAATTTAACAAGATGATGAAGGAATAAATGAAGTGTAAAGCTAACCATAGGAAAAGTCGTTTAAAAGAAATAAATGAGATTTTAAAAAAGGAAAATCAAAGTTATGAAATGATATTAAATCGAAGATTTCAAGGAACATAACTATACTACTTTGATCGATTTGGTTCACACTGATAAAGAGTGACCTCAAAGACTGATTTCATGTCATGGTCAGAGTGTTCTTAGCCTTATTCAAATTATCTATCACGTTAGGTAGGATTGAGCAACAGATTAGCTGGTGATTAAGTATACGTAACACAAATTACAAATATCTCTGTTGATAAAGATTGATGATATATTTAATCAGTTTTGCATTTTTACTCATTCCGTGATGGTATCACATATGATGAATACTTGGGAGATACTGGATACATCTGGAAATTGCCTTTAGTATTACAGATATACTAACTGAATATTTCCCTCTAAATCTTCAGGATAATTTTATCTCATAATTTCAACCTAATTATTTCATTCACTGTTTTTCAACTATATTTTTATCATTCAGCTTTCCATTAATACCGATACTTATTTGTTTTAATGCTTTGTTAACTTCCGCTGTTGATTGAGAGCAGTAACAACTTAAATAAACATGCTTGTCCGCCAAATATTTCATAAATCCTGAATTAGTAACCATCAGTCATGGAAGGAATAGTGGTTATGTCAAGACATAAACGGTGTAATGTCACAATAGAAAATGTTGATCACATGACGATTATGTTTCACTATGAATGACTACTTTATTAATTTAAGTTTTTACACTATTGAGAAAAAGGATATCAAGAAGACGGAAAAATTGAAATGAATTTCAAATGAGAAAATCAGAAAGATCCAAATATACAAGAACTAATTAGTGTTTGAATAATAATAATAATAATAATAATAATAATAATAATAATAATAATAATAATAATAATAACACCAGCTGAGGCAATAGATACAAACCATAAGGTCAATTGTGGTAAGTGTTTACTAACTCGGAACAGATTAGATATGGTTTTGAAATGACGTACAACAAGATTATTGTCCGATGTAACAATCACATAAGCAGAATAAAAGTAAAGATTTATATAGGTATCAGTATCAACGTTGGGACTTGATAGTTTCAAATAAATTCAGTATTGATTAGAAAGTTAATAATAAATATATTTTTTGTGATATCTGCGAATTGCAGAGGTTCCTTCTTTCCAGCATAAGCGATAAGCGCTTTCAATATAACAATCAGCAACAACCAAAAATAACAAGTAGCGTACATTACACAAGACATATCAGTGGCAACGGGGATTTCAGAAGAAATCGAAAAAACATATCAATATCCTAATGAGTAGAAAAGTTATATTTCTAATGTTTCGTTACAATCTAAGCTGCTTTTTCAGAGCAAATAAATAACCAGACTAAATTGACACAAGTTTAAATATTACAATGAATATTCACAGTGAATATTCACATGGAAACATGTGATTTTGATTCACCATAACATATCATTGCTTTATTTATGAAAAAAAAAACAGAGTCCATTATTTTGAGAATCTTTACAGCTAGCAACTAAATCTGATAACAAACTTAGCAACATTTGAATTTGAAAATTGAATCTACACTTTAAAGATAACCAGTTAGTGATTAGAAAACTTATGAATGATGACATAAACCCGGTGTTTCAACTAGACAAAGGTTTTGGTATAATCCTTAAGAATAAATACATAAAGTAAATCTGATTTCAGATAATTTTCAGAAATTTATTATTGATAGATCTCACAAGGATATAACCAAGTTGATATAAAGACAAATTATAAAGATGTTAAACGAAATTAATGCTCCGATTAGATCTATATTATTATTCATGGTTGGCTCACTAGATGGTTAATAAAATATTTGAAACCCATTATTCATGAGAAACTAGGAATCTACATCCGACAGGATTATCATGAATTTACAATAAAGCTAGAAAGTTCGGATATTTTCGATATATTTACAGTATTATTTGATATGTCTTGACATTTTGCAAAGATCTCCTCCCACAAAGAGGAAACTATTCAAACTATAGATTAACATTATAATCTTCCATTGAAAACTATGGGATTCAAATAGGTTCTGTTTAATAATTGAAGATGTGTTTTAACTATTTTAGATATCTACTTCATTTTTTTCAGCTAAGCACATTATGTCATCAAAATTACTATGGAAAATTAATCTCAGAATTCAACGGACTCCAGATGGAAAATCACAATGATAACTTTATCACAAAACATTAGAAGTCGGTTTTATCTGAACTATCACAGTTAAGAATGCTTGTTTCCTATTGCCTGAATTAAAAAGTGATGATATCACTGACAAAAACCTTTAAACTAAACATTTATCCATTCAAGAAGTACGTATAAATATATCAGTCAGTCAGTTACAACGTAGGATCAGGGACATATATGCATTGGTCCAAGTTGCCATACATCATTAATACAAGAGATGAACACCAAATTCATAGAAGCAGATACTTCATTGGCAATAAAAAAATTGCATACAATGGTATGAGACAAAGAGAAGGAATTAGTTTGTAGAAAGAATGGTATAAAGTAGTTTTAATCTCATAGTTTAAGGGGAAGATAGAGAGTGCATACACCTACGCCATTGTGATCGATTCTGAGTGATATCACACAGAATATGCAACGATTCGTTCCGATAGTCATGCGGACCCAAACTAGGTAGTCTACATCTACCAACACGGCTCAGACCAGAGGTCAGTGACTTCAAGGACTGATGCCACGATTTGTTTGGCCCCTAACTTTCTTCCATTTGTCTCCGACACTAATCAGCATGGCGTTTCGTGGTAATTCGTGGTTGGTCATGAGTAACACATAGCCCAACCATCTCAGTCGATGAAGATTTACATCATCAACTGAGTTACCATCATTCCCTAAAACTCTGCGTCCAACCGCACTAAGACATCTGTCATCAATTACTAGTGACTTACGAGTACCTTTTACTATTAATGATTACGGTTCGCAGCCTTAAAGTAAAACAGAACAAACTGCAGTGCAGTATACTTGTTCCTTAGTTGATAGACGGATATCTCACCTTCGCAATGGGTGACGTAAGTTGGCAAAAGCCCAACGAGCTTTTTGAATCGATGATGAGATTTCGGCAGACACCGGCCCATTAGGGCTGATCAGACTTCCAGGAAAAGTGAAGTTGTCGACGCGTTCGACTACTTCACTGCCTATCCTTAGTTCAGGTGTTGAGGCAGACCAGTGCTGAAACAACAACTTGCATTCAAAGGGGTGAATTGCATCCCAAATATGCCCAGTACTACCAAAAAACTGCATTTTATCAGCATCTTCACTAATCAGGACTATGTCATATGCTTATTCTAAGCCAACAAGTGGTTCTCCTGATCGATCCCGGAAAATTCAGACAACGAGAACGTTGTTTCCATCAGTAGGTCGTCTATGATGGAAGTGAACAAAAGTGGAGATAGTGAACAGTTTTGCCGGACACCATTTGAGGTCGCAAAATCAAAGGAAAGTATGCCATAAGCTCTGACTCAACTGGCAGTGTTCGAGTAAAGAGCCCTTACAAGGCTTCTGTACTTCTCAGGTACGCTTCCACAATAAATTGATATTTTTGATTGCTTCTCCAATAAGTAACATCAAGTTGTGCAACCTTCACTTGGTTATTTCATTGGCTATAACAAAACGCTTTTCCACTAAATATGTGATGAATGCTTGACCAATCTTTTTAGATGTATCTAGATTCTTACATTTTTGTTACACGACTAAACAGACTTTTAAATTCTAGGTAATCACTTTCATATTTCATGATATTTTCTAAATCTACATTTAATGACCTTAAGTATGGATTTTTATAACACCGATAATCTTTGTCACCTCATTTACTCAGTCGACGAATGTTCATTATCAAGTGTTATGTTATATTTCAGCACGAATGGTATTGTAAGACACCGATGAGAATATAAGGAAGATAGATTCAGATTACTTTTCTTCAACTGTAACAGTTTGTTCGGGCTAATAAAGAGAAATAATTATGTGAAACACGTAGAAAGGTTTGAAAATATCCCTGTTAAACTTCACTTATTAAAACCAGCTAAAACTGAGAGATAATTAATGTACAAATGACTTGAACGAATAAAGCTAAGCTGCATAAAACCATAAGAGTTTTGACTAAATTACTCTAAGGTAAGTGAAGGATGATAGATTTCTTCGATGAGGTTGGAACCGTTTCCAGTAGTGCTGAAGACAGTTAATGGGTCTATACTGGCTCTTTTTGGTGTAGAACCGCAAGAACAAATAATTAAATGAAAGCCGGCAAAGGTTAACCGTACCGATGAACACGTGTTACTCATCAAGTCCTCTTGATAAATGTTAAACCTCACTCATCCATTCAAAAAAAAAACATCATTGAGTGGTTTATAACACAAAATGAGAATTTACAACGAATGTATTTTCATGGTACCAATAACAAACATTTTTCTGTTGCTTAGAAGTTCTTCATTCATCAATTTCATGTTGTTCGTACGCTGGAACTGGTTGTAAGATGTTATAATGATCAGTTTATGACAAGATAATGTGGTAGAAAAGAAAGCTAAGTGGGACTGGGATCCATCAGTCTATTATGACTCCTTGGTTTGGGTATGAGAGATTGTTTTTGAGACGTAATTAAACGTAGCTGTTGTAATTTTCTTCTTTCTTTAGAAATATGATAGAAAAATTTTCTGGATGGAAGAATTTTGAATTTTTCGTTTGTATTGTTAACTGGACCGTCTCTACTATCATACGGTTTTCCTATTAATTATTTTTTTGTTAATTCACTTCAAATGTGCTCTATTTCGCTCACAATGTCATCTATATTTTGTGTGGCGTACTCTATTCTGCCGTGTTACGCCAAATTTTGTCCATGAATAAATGAATAATAGTTGCAAATAATTTAGAGCATATTGCACCTCCTAGAGGAATGAGAACTTGGTAGGAGATTTAATTTTCGACCAGTAGATTATAGGTTCGAACCACAATATATCAGTTTTGACAAGTAGTTGAGAAGTCTCACTGACCATTACAAGGTGTGTGTCATAATATTACCCGTATTAGCAACTAACAAGTAAAACCACACGCTCATTAAACCGACTTCGAAGGAAATTCGCTGATATTTGGTTTAACCTTTCAAATGTCATATAAACTAAAAGTTTAAAAACTGAACCTATTATCTCAGGTAAACTTCCGTAATTCTGCTTCTTACGAATCTTCAACAAAAAGCCTTAAAAACCTGATATTACACAATCAAATATAAAAGTATTTATTTAAAGACACTGACAAAGTTACTCCCAAATATCCTATTACTGTTAAAACTAGGTAGAATACATTCTATGTGCTCTCATACGACCACGTGATTATAGTCACTTCTATGGACTTCTTACTAACTGGCTTTACGATAGAGATATGGTAGAAATGAGAGTCCTATGAATCAACAAAGTTGATGGATGAGAAAGGTCCACAGAAAAACATTAACTCAAAATCGATTATGCATATAGCCTTTAGGATCATACGGAACCAAATAGCACACAAAACTAATCTGCTCACTGATTAACTTGAAGGCATAACCCTTTAATGAGCTGAACTACCTCGTTGATTAGACTTTACGGTCAAAAACTTAACAAAACAACCTAACTATTTTTAAAGGCTCGTTGTGTACTAGTTTACACGAATAATGATGATTTATAGAGCGAACAAAGATTATGGTTCACCCACCGCAAAAATCTTCAAGAACTAAACACAAAGTTGAAGATTTTCATTCCAAAAAGGTTGATCTCACTTTAATTGAGAAACAATACGAAACTACAGCAGGTTTTCAAATCGCTTCTATTTTGAAATATGTCTAATAACGTCTCCAACCTCAAACTTGCAGAATTTTCAAGACCGCAACCAGTGATTAATGTTAGACTGATGAACTATCGTCCTACATATTTTTCATATAGCACCACTGTATCACAAACTAACAACTTCTCCGTTTTCCCCAGCTTCTATAAGTGTCCGTAAATGATGTACTGTATGGGAGCTTCTGTGATGACATTCATACAACATGTTCAAGTTACTGAGGCAGGTTTCACAAAAAAAGTGACAATAAATAGCTGACTGTTACTTCATTTACTCTGTGCCATATCTGATAGCATCAGTGTAGTAAGTGTTATTTCTGACCGTAATTGAAGTCATAGTGGGCCGATAGAAGCCAGTCCTGTTAACCTTTCTTTTTTCTCCAGAGCCATCTCATAAACTGACCATTGCCCTTACTTTCTGAATTATTTGCCTATAAAGCCTTCAAAATATCAATAACAAACTCAGGCAACTTTTTGACAGCCATCCGATCACAGGTAATATAGAACCTGACGCAGATGTGCATCGACTCAAGATAATACATCACATCAGCACATCGAGAGAATTGTCAAGTCAAATCACAGAATAGTAGTAATAGTGTCAGTTTTAATATACAAGACTGGGTATAAAAAGAAAACGTAAAGGAATTAGAGACTCAGGGTTTAAGGAAAGACAGAGTGAATATATCTAAGCTATTTCAAACAATGTTAAAGCATAGTTTTGCAAGATGAATGAAAACCAATTTCGATCATTACTTTCGAATTTTAGGCAAACTTATTCACCGAGTATCTAAGTAAGAGTTACTCTAAGAGTGGAAGCTGATGATACTACCCAATTTTCCGAACCGAAGTACGTGGAGCAGGGTTCTAGTTCTCCACCTAGTGGCCCAAAGGCGAACGTTCTCGTCACTAAGTCACTTCTCCGACCCTTATGTAGCATACTATTGCATTTTTTGTGGATGTGAGATGGATTGTCTCAAATGAAAGATATCTGCCTTGGTTGTAAAGTTCACAAGACCGTTTCTCTTCGTTAGATGATGATTTCGTTCAATTTTTAACCAAATATGCAACCTAATCCTCCCCCACTTCACTCCAATATTAGCATCCTATTTCATGTTCTGAATTCGCCTCTCACCATATTGTGCCATTTTCGATAATTGAGCTAAATAACAGGTTTTCAAAATCACACAAAATTTTTCAAGTTTTTTTAATGATGCTGGAGATGGAAAGTTCTTTGTAGAACAGCGAATCAGAGGTTAAGACGTGAGAATTTCGACTACTGGGTTACACGTTTTATCTCCACATCTTTGGGCAGATGAGTAGTATGAACAGTCATTATACTGATCAGCAACCTACTAAGTAAACATTTACGTCATAAATGAGTAGTACTTGACCAAGGTTTATAAGCTAATTTTTTGACACCGACTCTGTAAACATCAACATTTTACGTTAAGACCGTACAAACAAAGCGCTTAAAAATTAACGAAAAGCACCGATATAAATCATGTGCCCCAAAAGGGATACGGATTCCCCATGTAATCAGTCATTATTTCAAGAACTCTTAATAAATTAAGAAACTCACCTCTGGATTTGTAAAATCTTCTGAAGCCTGGACATTTTCAGTTTCCTGTTTTGAAGCTATAAAGGTATCATTTTTGACTGGAAATCTATATTTTGTTTCACGCTGAGAAAATATGTTTACACCCTTAAAATGTCCCGAATGCTTAGAACAGCAAGAGTTTTCAGTATCAATTACCGGATAAGGAGAAACTGAACGCTTGATTGGAGATTTTGACCTTTTAGTTAGTGATGTAGGACGTCTGACTGATTTGAGACTATGCCCCATCCTCATTGTTAAATTACGTTTATGGCTAATTGAGTCATCATGGGTAGTACTTTTCGATCGCACTCTCGTAGGAAAGCGGGACTGTATATCCTTAGTAGGTCTAATGTGATGACCAATTGGAGAGGTGTTTTGACGCTGAACAATAAAGGACCCAAGCTCTCTAACGGCATCCAACATTTTCTCACAAGCTTCCTGATTTCCTCTGAAATTCTAAAAGAAATAAATTCATTTCGACACTATCTCATACCTTTTTCGACTGATTTCTATATTTAGTAAGGCGGTCATTTTCCAGAATCTAACGGAAAATGTTCAAATATTTCGCTAAAATTAGAGGTACCTTATTAACAGCAATATGTAATTTTTTCAAATGATGCTTAAAATTCTGTGACGATGAGTCCTGTTATGCAAAGAACTATAAGAATAAAACAGCAACTCACAACACATATGTTAGGAATATTTGCTTCAGATCTTTTATATAGAATAGGTCTTCTAACTAACTCTTTGCCCAAAGTAACATCTGCAACACCTGGAGCATCAAAAGAAGAATCCCGAGTATTGCTTCCTCCTGAGGCTTTAGGTATTGAAGTTTCTGAATTAGTGTGGTATGTGTACTATAATTATTTTCGTTTATTCAGAATATTTTGCTCACTTGTAAGTTTTCATCCCTAGATTCAGAGGAGCTCATGTTGCCACCATTCGAAAAAAACTAGCTCAAACTTTTCTTCAGAGGATTAACCAAACCGAATCAAAGCTTTACAAGCAACTTGACGCGTGGCTACTTCAGACTAATATATATCAAATGAACCGCTCTACTAGTTTCCATGATCGTGAGATTTAATTAGCATAACTAAACACAAACTTGAGTAATAAATTACGAAAGTCTACCGGTCCATGTTATTGACCTTGATTTCTGACACTCCAAAGATTTGTAGTAACCTACTTTCAATGGAAACAATTATTATTATTATAACCAATTGCACCAGTGATTGTTTTACTGTACTTGCTTGTTCAACTGTACTAAAGACATGCATTCTTTCTTCCGTTGATTGTGACCTTGCACGCACTTACATTTGCTCAGTGATTCCGCTTGTACACCTTTGACACGATCTCGGTATTCTTTCGATACCACGAGATCGCCAACAAATATGTCTCGCTACAACTTCCGATCGCTTTCTGATATCTGGTACGCAACCTTCTTGTAGTGGTGATCATAGTCAACCACGACTCGACGCCAAACTACAATTTGTGAGCCAAAAAATATGGACACTTTTCAGTCGAGTCCAAATCTTCCAAAGAAGCCATTTGCGGTGAGTTTATTACTTATTTATCCACGTCTGTTGCACATTTTCATATTGATATTTTTCAATATCTAATATTCTGGCAACCTCCAGCCACGGCAAAACCACGCCGACTGGCACTGGACAATTTGGCCTCCGCTAAACGTGGGCTTGACAATTTACTAGCTACTGGTATTATTCGTCCTTCTCACAGTCCCTGGGCCTCACCTTTTTACATGGTGCGCAAAAGGATGGAAGAACATGCAGCGACGACCGGGCACTAAACATTGTTACACGTTTTGATAGCTATCCCACCCCCCATATACAGGACATCACGGCACAACTATTTTTCTATGATCGATCTGGTACGAGCATATCATCAGATCCCAGTCGCTCTTGAAGATATCAAGAAAACCGCTATCACGACTCTTTTTGGTCTGTTTGAGTTCCTACGAATGCCATTTGGATTATGGAATGCTGCTCAAAATTTCCAAATTTATATCGATAGCATAGTACGAAACCCAAATTTTGTTCACGTCTATAGTGATGACCTGCTAATCACGTCATAAAACGTAGATGAACATTATCAACATCTTGAACTTATTCCAACGTCTTTCGGATAATGGCATAGTAGTCAACCCGGACAAGTGCGAATCAGGCAAACCAGAAATAATGTTCTTGGGTCACACCATTAAGCAAGAGGGTATTTTACCTTGCGAGGACAAAGTACGTGCAATAAGGGAGTACAAGGTGCCGTTCACACTCAAGTTACTGAAGGCATTTCTCGGTGTGGTTAACTTCTATCTACGTTTCATCCCACGGTCACGACCATTAGTCAATTTATTTCACGGCAATTCACGCAAATAAGAATTGAACGATTCCGCAAGTACTGCACTTTCAGAGATCAAAACGGCTCTGGCTCAAGTCACACTCCCCGCCCATCCTGACCAATCAGCGGTTGATGCATCGGATTTTGCTATAGGAGCCGTTATGTGACAGAACATCCCCGGTAGTTGGCAACCTCGATAATTTTTCTCAAGACGCCTTACTCCCATGGAGACGAGATATAACGCTTTTGATCGAGAATTGCTAGCAGCCTATTGTGCCATCAAACATTTCCGGCACGCAGTAGAAGGTCGCAATTTCATCTTATTCACCGACCACAAGCCTTTAATGTATGTTCTGCATACTAATTTTGACCGCTACTCACCACGAGAGTGCAGACATTTGGACTATATCTCTCAGTTCACGACAGACCGTTACATTAAAGGCGAGTCGAACTATGTTGCTGATGCTCTGTCACGTATCCAAGTGAATGCAGTTACTTCACCGGTACTCAAACTTCCTGCTATGACAGCCGCTCGGGCAAACGATCATTTTGTACAGAAGCACCACAATCTTCATCCCTTCAGTGCCAGGAAGTACCCCTAGCTACTAGTTCAGGTACCATCCTATGTGATACTCTAACCGGTCTTCCCCAACCCATCGTACCCTCTGCTTAACGTCGTTCAATCTTTGATGACCTGCATGGACTGTCCCATCCAGGTATCGCAGCTACATTGCGTTTCCTCTCTGCACGACCCGGCTGCTTGGTACGGGACGCATACGCACTACCGCCTACCACCCAGCATCAAATAATTTAGTTGAACGGTTTCATCGCCAACTCAAAAGTGCTCTTCTAGCACACGAAAACAACAACTGGTACAAAACCTTACCGCTTGTCCTCCTATGTATCAGAACGAGCTTGAAAGCAGATATTCAATGTTCTGCCGCTGAACTGGTATACGGCACGACATTGCGTCTGCCTGTTGACTTCTTCACACCACTGAGCAGACACGATTTCGGTAAATCAGACTACGTCCAACAACTGTCTGCATTTATGCGAACGCTGCCTCCGGTGTCAACTCGAACACAGCATCGATAGATCGTTCTGTCTCGAGAGTTATCTGCCTGTTCGCATGTTTTCATACGAGTAGATTCGGTACGCAAACCTTTGCAACAACCTTACGAAGGCTCTGTTCGCGTGATCGGTCTTCACGAAAAGACCTTCAAGGTTGATCAACGTGGCCGCGTCGAGGTCGTCAGTATTGATCGTTTCAAACCAGCACATGTCGATGACAGTGCCCTACCTGATAAGTTGAGACTCAATGCTAGGCCCATCAAAACTGCTAGCGGGATCACTATATCTACTTCAGATTCCGCGCTAGATATATCAGAGACCTCACTCTCACGTCCCGTTAAACAGCACGTGTCATCTGCACCATCTACGGACGAGACTTCAGTCTCATGCCCAGATCAGTAGACAATGCCGCCCTTGACTTCGGATGAGATTGCAGGCACACGAAATACGATGGAGACTACCGTCTCACGTTCAGGTCGCCGAGTACGGTTGCTCGTACGCTTCCGCGACCAGCTGCACAGTCAACAACCGATACGGTGTGGGGCTATTCCTATGCTACGTGCATGCTACACTCTTCTCTCTTTTGATTTTTTTTTGCTTCCTGAGCCCACGCCTTCGACAATGCCCGTTTGGTTCCGTCGACTTCAGTCAACTTTGGCGAAAGCTGGCCTGATCATCCACGCTCTTGTCAACGCACTCAGTCGATATTTTGGTCTCGAATGTTTGGCATACGCTTGGTCTCAAACTTAGTCGTCATGGTCGTTTCTGGTTCCTCGGCCCAACGTGGTTTCGTCCTGCGTCTGCAGCGCTTTCTGGTCCGGACCCCTACGGACGCAATCTTCAGATTCTGGGTACAAACCAATCTGCTGTGGTACGCTAACTCGAGTGACAGATACAGCACGTTTCTCCTGGTACCGTTCTACGTAAAAGACCTTCGGCGGCAACCCGAGGATCGAGGATAGCTTCCTGTTCCTCCAACCCTCTCGTCCTACAATCGGAGAGTTGCCGATCAATCCTACAAACAAAACGGCTACGTATCGAGTGTAAACCCTTCCTAGCGGGGGTCCCCTGTAGTTACCTAATTTTATCAAGAAAAGGCGATTGGTTTAATGGAAACAATTATTATTATTATAACCAGTTGCACCAGTGATTGTTTTACTGTACTTGTTTGTTCAACTGTACTAAAGACATGCATTCTTTCTTCCGTTGATTGTGACCTTGCACGCACTTACATTTGCTCAGTGATTCCGCTTGTACACCTTTGACACGATCTCGGTATTCTTTCGATACCACGAGATCGCCAACAAATATATCTCGCTACAACTTCCGATCGCTTTCTGAAATCTGGTACGCAACCTTCTTGTAGTGGTGATCATAGTCAACCGCGACTCGACGTCACACTGCAGATTCAGGCACTTTGTGCATGTATTATAATGACGTGTAAACTCAGTCACCTGCGATGAAATGTCAGATCTCATCGCATTGCGCATCGTTGAATATGAAACTAATACCTATTATTTATTTGCATCAATTGAGAAAAAACCGGTCTCGTAATAGATCGATAACTACGTTCAGTGCTGCATTTACCATTCCCTTTTCTCTTCTATTGGTAATGGCGTTTGATTTAATAGTGTCTCCAATACATTCGATGACTTTGTGGTTATTTTGTAAAAGCCGATTGTTAATTTTGCTTGCTTCTTGCTCTTTGTTGCGATTCTGAGGATTTGATAATGCATAATGTGGAAAAGCCTAGTCACTCAGCTGCACATGTAATGGTCCAATCGGTTCTTGCCAGAAAATTGACTATCAACACCGCTTCAGAGAAACACGTGCCAAATAAATCCATAAAATCCTCGGGAACCCAAATATCAGAAAGCATTTAATGGACCAAGTCGAGATATATTTGCTGGCGATCTCGTGGTATCGAAAGGATACCGAGATCGTGCCAGGATACAAGCTTGGTTACAGAATGTAACCGAATTCGCGCGAGTTCACAATCAAAGTTTAAGAATAATGTATGCTTTTTAGCACAGTTAAACAAAAGCACATTGAAACAGTCACTGGTAGAATTGGTTATAATAATAATTGTTTTCGATAAACCAATCGTGTTCTCGTGATAAAAGTGAGTCACTGTATATCTGTGCTAAATGTTGAGTATCGATTTTCCTTGTTATCTAGTGTTCAGCTTTGAGGATTGTGTGGTTTAAACCAATAACATAACAGATTTGTCCGTCTTGTATTTCGGGTGGGTGCTTTAGTCTCACATCAAAATGGATTCTGGATGCCAGCAGCTATTATACTATCAAGTGGGTAATCTGTTGTTTGTGACGTCAAAAACAATGAGGGGAAAATTGTGGTCCTAAGACGAAGGACACGAAACTTAAGTAAACAAGTTTAATAATCAAAAAACTAAGCGCTGATAAGACGAAAGTGTAAGGATAAACCGATCGATGGAGGTGGGAGTAAACGGTAGAATAGTAAGTCAGTGACTATGAGACCAGGTAATTTGCCAGGGAACTGTGGTCACTTGTGTTGAAAAGAACAATTTCTTTGTAGTTGATGACTGAGTTCGAATTCCAAATACAAAACATTCGTTCATGTTCATCTAGTACTTCTTGGTTAAATTGCGTTTTCTTCTGAGATACCTGCTTTGAATTATAAGTCAAATAAGTCTAATCATCACACTGGCGTCGCGATGGAGCCTGCGCTCGAACAGTCAGGGATTTATTCAATTTCTGAGGCATATGAGGATTATTTGGAAAGGTTTGATATATTGCGCATGATCAAGAATGATGTGGAGGGTGATAAATTTGTGGCACATTTCCTTACACTTATTGGTGAAGAAGTCTACAAATTATTAAAAATTTTAACATTTCCAGAAAAGGTATCTGACTTTCATATGAAAATCTTAAGGAACTACCACTAAATCATGTACAGTTCACCAGTTTTGAAGTCCGTGAGAGCGGACTTTCAAAAATTATTCGTCAGGACAACCAAAAGGTTCACGAATCCATCCTTGAATTGCAAAGACAAACTACCAAATTCAGTTTTAGCGCCCAACCTAATGTGCTGCTAAGGAATCGATTAATTGCAGGGATTAACATCCCACGTCTGTAAAGAGGGTTGTTGAGAATACCGAACTGTTCCTTTCAAAATGCTAGAACTGTATGTATTAACTAAGAAACAGTGAATGAATTTGAAATCCAGTCAACCAAAGTTTTTAATGCTCCGCTCAGTCGTCATGATGAAATACGATCTCAGGGTCCATCAAACTTGCGTCCGTTTAATGGTGATTCCTATTTTCATGAAAATATAAAAAATGATTCAACAATGACTTGGAAAGCAAACAACAAAGGTGAGATCAAGTTTGGTAAATGTTTATCCTGTGACAAATTTCATTCTCGTAATGCATGTGCATTTCGTAATGCTAATTGTCTTAAATATGGTAAGATAGAACACATTCAGTTAGCATGCGGGACTGCTGTTCATTTTGCTTCAAGTGGTACCAAACCTTGTAATTTAGATCCTAGTAATTCGGATGTTCCTAATGATCATTAACCTTCATCCACCATTTCAAAAGGTAATGCTCACACACAAAATCGATTATATACATCCCTCGGTTTATTTCGTGACTATTGTGTACACAGGCAATATAGAGATCATTACTTCATTCAAGAACATGAAATCTTTAGATCCTAACGTTATTGTAAGACCTAGTGAAGTCTCGATATTGGGGATTACTGGACACAGACTGCCCATACCAGGATGCTGTGAATTGTAAATCAGAGATTATAATTCTTCACAGATGTCTTGTGAATTTTTAGTTAGCGAAACAGAAGTGTCAATACTGGGTTTTAAAATTTTTTTAGTTGCGTGTGCTAAGTGAATTGAAGGTATGCAAATTCAGCCTTTAAAACTTTAAGTACAGAGTGGTCCAGTGTATCTTAAGAGACGAATAATTCATTATGGTCTTCGAGAAACAACGCACAGACATTGAATGATTTGTGTGCGAAAGGTATAATTAAAACTGTTCAGTCTTCAATATGGGGTACTCCTATTGTTACGTAATTGAATTCGGATGACAAAACCCTACTTATCAAAGTTAGTAATGTGATTTTCTTGCACCCTGATAAAACTGAAGACAACTACAGAGAAAAAAGAAAAGGCCACAAGATCCACTGCGATATATAGATATATTTGTGTAGGGGTCAGACATAAATTATTATCGGAGAGGTTTTTGGAATATACATCCCAACTACCCTCATGCATAATTATCGGCCTAATGAGAATAGATGTTTAGTAGGTATATTCCGTAGATTATTTGATCCGTAGAGACAACCAAAGAAACGAAGTGAAGAGGGCGAAGATAAGAGTACTGAGCGGAGCGGTGAAGACAAGTGAACCAAATCTATTTGACCGACTGTGTCATCTGCAGGAATGTACTGCTAATTAAGTATATTATTTCCTCTACTTAAGCATTCTACTTGGGAAGCATACTGTAATTGAACTAATACAATAGTTTGTAGATCATATTTGTAAAAATGGCTTGTACCTGCCTTGGTAGAAATACATTATTATTTATTGTCGAACACAATAATAAATAATGGAAGCAATTAACATACATACACTCATACAAAAACAGTTGGGGTTAATAAGCGAACAAGGTCAAAATGTATCTTGAGAAGAATGTGAAACCAGGTCTACCGACACATGTAGGGTCGATATAGTACTAGATACAACAATTTCGCATGTGCTAGTAGATCAAAACAAGCGACAGCTTCATCAAGATTTCTTAAAAATACATGCAGTTCATCTACCATGCATAATTCTGAAGGACGACTATCCTATATTAGTGAATGTGTAGAATCATTGTCCAATTCACTATTAATACATTTATCCTCGTTACCATAATAGACCTAAGACCAAAATTGTAGATTTGACTACCTAATCTATAAGGCACATCATATATACTGACTCGCCCTACTGTGAAAACTAGCAGTAAAATGATTAGTTCTTCTAAACACTACATTCCATTCGAGAATAAGATAATATATTTCATGCGGGAAGGTATGAGCTATATAGACTGACCGCGGCTACAGGGCTGAATCAATCATTCCAATCAATTCTCCCTGTGGTGACAATCTCTGACTTCTCCTTTAATGCTGGATGTGAATTTCATCAGTTCACTCTGGAAGATCGTGTGGTTGGAAAATAACACCAGTAAAATTGTCTCCTACTAGAATCAACGTAACGTCTTTCCGACACAAAGTCGAGTGGCATTATCACGCGCTTAAAGTCACCATGAGAATAACGCGAATATTCCAAGTATTGGTAAGCTCAAAGATAAATCAAAAAGACGGCAGCAACTGATTAGGGAAAACACAGAATGTTTTAAAACTGTTGTTTCAGTTCTTAACGTACTCAAAGTGAAACTCCACGTAGAGATTATTTAGACGCTGAATAAAGTGGGACTAAAATTGAAGAATGAGTTAGTATAGAGATTCCTTAACAAGCCACGTTACGATACGTAGCAGTGACCATCCGTTAATAGTTTAACTTATGGGTCGTCCCCGTGCTCACAAATAGAAAAACAACCAATATTACGGAAAGTATGATCTCTGGTTCAAGTGAAGATTAATTTAATATCGGTGTGCCGGCTGCATTTGTTGATATTTAATTTAAATCGAATCAGTAGGCTAACTGAAGGAACGGAAATACACATTACCAGATGAATGAGCAGGTTAGTGCAGTAGTTCAGAGTAAATAACGGGAGTGGACCTAAACGTTCTTTCCTAGACAAGTCCCAGGGCTCATCATTAAAGGTGATATTCAATGATTGGGTCAGTTCAAGTAACTTGCCAGTGAAGTGCTGTCTCATTATTTCCAACTTCAGCAGACAAGTCAAATTAAATAACCCCACAAAAACTGAACATGGAAGACCGCAGAAGAGATTTGTTTGTTTGTTCATTTACCGTTCCACAATCAATTCTCAAATAATTGATAGAGTATCTTAAATAAGCCCTACTTGACACAAAAATGAACACATATTTTGCCTATGAAGCTGGAATGTTAGAAGTCACGTAGATTGTAGACATACATCGAGAACGAAACTTTGGCGCTTGTTTATAATTTTCGTTGCATCTGAGTATACTCCTGCCTCATATATAGGACGAAAAACCTGTTAGGAGTAGTCATCTTATTTCATGACACTGAAGGCTTGTAGACATTTCGCAGTTTATTACTTACTGACCAGTTGTGCTTCAAAATTAGTGAAAACAACCTTAGGTCATAGCAAGTTCTTGCGCTGCAGAAGCTTACAATTAAGTTGAATACCAATAATTTGTTTAGCAACCACCAAAGATTTAAGGGTGACAGTCTTCGGCCGGGGCAAAATAGGTTGGGGAGAGAGCAGTTCAGTTGACATGGAGCAGAATTACTGCTTACAACAAGTCGAAAAGCACATAATACGGGCTGACTTGGGAAACCCCCTGAATTTATAGCTGGCAGAATTGTGCCCCATGATGTGTCAGTTCAACACTAAGGTTACCGAATAAAATGCACAAACCCTCATCTATAAATATGCAACACTATCCTTTGGGGAGTTAATCCATTTTTTTAGCCAATGGAATACACTTATCCTTCAGGTCATTTCTTGTCATCGATTAGGCTTGACATATCAGAGTGGTAACCGCTTTTGAACTCAATATTGAGAAGTGATTGCAATAATGACCTCGGAGACGCTAAAAATTGGTTTGATATAAAATATACTGCTACATGATTCGGTTGAATTCATCTACGACGATTAACTTACAATACATACTTTTAGTTAACGGTCACGTGAGCAAGTTCAAATCGAATAAACTGTACCATTATAAGTCATCTCATTTATCCACTTCAACAGTTCTCAAACTGCGTACCATTATCAAATACGTGGGAAAAATTCATAACAATCGACACAGAGATGAGGTGCAAGGCACTAAATTTAGAGCTCAAATAAACTTGAGACGATTCCAATAGCACGATACACCGATAACTAGGGAGAACTGAACCTAATAATGAACAAAACAGATTTGTCCATTATACATAAATACAGTTAGTGTGTATAAAAAGATGCGACGAGAAACAATGATTACACAACAAATGAATGTATTAGTTTATAATATAAGTGCATATGATGATAAGCATGAATCAGGTATGAAAATACAATGAATACAACAGTATGAGCGAACAGTACAGTGAAAATAACATGTGTACGTATATATATAGCATGCAGATAAGAAGACTGTAGAATGGAGCAGCGATATATGACAAGGCAACATGTTTGCTGTTGTTAATATAGATATAAAAACAAAAAGCAATAATATACTCCCGAAGATATCGTGGTACAACAACAGCGTATGACCAGTTGGCATTATTAAACAAAGCGTTAGTGAAATAAAGTGAATAGTCAAGCAGACAGCATATAGAAGAAAAAAACTATATAACTTGTTTTGTTAGCACAAAAGAACAAAGAATTAGTAAAATGCAGTTATAAAATTGATATTAATTAGAAAGTTAATACAATTAGGGGAAACAAAGAATAATGTAGGTCATCTATCTTCAATAGAGCACATTTCACATGAGATGACATTTCTGTGTTAATGAGAAGAAACAAAAACAAAAAAACAATGTAGATCGATAATATACAATAAGTAAAGTTGGTTTATAACAGTTCAAGTGACAATACCAGTGCTGACAATGACTAAACATAAGAGATATTTTACGCTAATAAAGTATCCACGAAGCAATAAATTAAAGGGATTTCATGTTAGGAGCCTAAAATCTATTAACCAAAACATGTTGAGTACTGTAAACATTGAAGACCTGCTCCCCTATTCTAAGTAAACGTAGTGGAGTGCATAGATATGATTATAAATGTATCTTCGACCGATAGGCCATTACGAAAACATGAGTTATTTCAGAAAAAAAAGAAACTACCTTGATGTAAGGCAATAAATAACTTGAAATCGATTAGAGGCAGCCCCCAAATGCCCTGGTACGGCCGAGAGTAATGAGAATCAGCTCCCCCTTTCGAAATGTTCTCACATGGCCACGCACTTACAACCACTAGCACGGAAGCCCTACCCACAGCCTTCTTGCAACAGTATGTTGTTTACGAAATTGAGAGGACGAAAAGCGAATGACCAGAGCTTTAACCGTGTTGGCGGACACGGAGAATTCACCTTTGGGGGAGTTGGGAAACCCTGATTCCAAACCAATGGTGTACATGGGCTCCAGGATCCCAAAGAAACAAATGGCGTATGAAACAATTGTTAGTCACCGGTTACTACTGGATTGCATTTTTTTCTGTTGCTCCATTCCCTTGTGGATCAAACCTTTAGGTTAAAGGCTCCGGGTGCGGCCCCCCTAAGAAAACCACCTGTTTCGGTTTGGGCACCTCGTGTAGTATCCCAGTCTTCACACAAATCGAATGATTTATGTGGCGCATATCTATTTGATGCCTCCTTGTACCAATGTTTATGTGATTAAATAATAAATAATAATAATAATAGGGATAGGTAATCAAGCACCTATGGTGCATGCATATCAAGAAACTTAACAATAGACGAAGAAATCAATGCGGATTCTTAAAGGTTATACAATAAATCCAAGAAAGTTGTGATAGAAAATGTTGTAAAATATAGGGATAACGAAACTATGGTTTACTGACATTTAACACGACCATACTACTGATTTGAAATCTGTTTCATTACACTCGATAATCATGTTCTAAAGCATGACACATATAATATTATTTAGATTTAAGATAAGCTATATATATTCGAATAATGATAACCTATATGAATTAACCATTTTGACAACAATCATAATTAATTATCAACTGAAATTAAAAACATAATATTAGTACACTAACCTCATCATGAGCACGAACACCGGATTTACGATCAAAATTAACTCCAGGACGAATTTTTTCTCGTTTAACTGTGCATTTGGCTTGTTCCTTAAATGAAAATGATACAATTAGACATTTATATATATATAAATTCTCAATTAATCTAACCACAAAGATATTTAACACTAAATAAAGCAAAGAGTGATAGTTTTTAATGTTCAGTTACAATTTAATGATCAAAATTTCTCCTTATTTTGTGTACATTTACATTAATTAAGCTTCCAAGAAAGGCAACAAGATATGACTAAATGATAAACCTTTGAATATATAGAAGAAATATATGGAATGATACAGAATTCATAATAAATATGAGGGGTTTAAGTAAAATTATTTCTAGATTTCTTGCTTCTTTTTTGTGATAAAAGATACCAGGAATTATCGTTTACAAAAACTGAATTCGGATGAACTAATGATTAAGATTCCTAGCATGACAGTGTGAAATATTTGCCAATAGATTGTCCTTTACATCTAAATATTATCAGTTGGCAATCAATGTATAATATGTACTTTGAACCTACTGAATATGGTGATAGGTGGAGTATATAACGTGTCAGTAAATAGTTCTTCTTCATGTTCGTAAAAACTAATCCATCCATGTGAAAGATATTCAGTGACTCTTTGTTAGACTATTGCTGTCCTTGTAGACAATCAAACATCTAACGAAATCGTTGAGGTTCGGTATTTTATTCAACTAATTTAATCAATCAATTTAAAAATATAAAAACATCGACTTTCAGAGCTTGGAAATGTATTACGAATACCATCCCAGTAATTCGGATCTTGCACAAATTCCCAAAATTGTTACTAATTAGGGGACGTAAAGAAGTAGTCGAGCTGTGACAGTGTTACAAAAAAGCTGTACGGAGATGTGTTCTGTCAACTTAGTATAACTTTTGTAAGGATCCTGGAAATAGTATAGTTTAGTGACGAGATGTTATCAAACATAGTCCAAAACAAATGCCAGTGAAAATTCAGCTGTACATTCGCTATACATTATTCATAGAAGTGAGAACTACTTTAACTGAAATATCTTTATTGGTTGTGTATTTTTAACTGGACTGTTTTTTATGCTACTTACTATTTATAACCACATTTCTATTTTATTGATTGTAGGACCAGGCACACATATACATCGGTTCAAGTTACCACACTTCATTAGCACAACAAGATGAATACCGGATTCATAGAAGTACTTAATTCAATGGTGGTAATATATCAAAGAAAGATTTTGCATATAGGAATATAGTACAAGAAGAAAGAGTTAGTTGGTAAAAAGAAAGATATGAAGCAATTTTAATCTCATATTTTAAGAGAAGACAGACAGTGTATACACCGACGCCATTGTGATCGATTCTGAGCGATGTCACCCAGTCTCCACCCATTGGACCCCAACCAAGTAGTCTGCATCTACCAACATGGCTCAGACTAGAAGTTAATGACTTCAAGCACTGATGCCACGTTTCGGTTTGGCCTTCGCTAACTTTTTTCTAACCATTTTCAACACTAGTCAACATTTCACGTCGTAGTAATCGATGTTCAGACATACGTAGCACGTAGCCTAACCATCTCGGTTGATGAAGATCCACAAACTCATCAATTGATTTACCAACGTTCACAATATTATGTCTATTTTGTGTGGCAAATATACGTTTTTGGATATCTAGTCGTAAGAGAATTTGTGTATTAAATAAAATAAATAATAGTAATGCTTTAAATGGAATTCAGTTTAATGTAAAAATTTGATTGCAATCAATCACAACAGTATAAAGGAATAATGTTGATTTATTTTGGTAATAAAATGTAAAGGGCGAGACTATAATTTATGGGCGAACCAATCAGATATAGGATAACGAGTCACGAATTTGGGCGCGGAATTCACTTATACATTTGGGCTAAATATAGTTTTGGCATTATAGCTGATGTCAGTTCGTGATGAAAACCCTAAATCTAATTTTTAACCCCTAAGCATCAACTGTAAATGAGAATTCCAATTGTTTTATAATCCTCATTTAGTTCTATTCAGTAGTTGTTCACTTACAAGGTCACTTCAGCGTTGCACAAAAATTCTAGTCTCATCAATAAAAGATGAACATTGGTCTATTCAACTTCCGATAAATGAAAAATTAAATAAGAATATCTACTGAAACCAAATTAAAATGTTTGACCTATTAATTAGTGCATTTTTTAAGTCATAGCAACAACAAGAAACCATAAAGAGTTCACAATATGATGTTTAAATATATTGAAACAGGAACATACATGTTTACTTTTTTAAAATGAATAAAAATCAATTGGACAGTAACAGGAATGAACATGTTTCACTATTTAAACAAAATTACTTCATAATTTTATTGATTAAATAAAAATAATAGTAAATATTGACTGATAGAATGATAATTTATAAACAAGAACAAAAACAAAGAAACTTACTTCACCATCTGCATCAAGTAATAGAATTGTGACATCAGTGCCAGGATGAAAACTTTTATTCTTCATAGTTAAATCAGCAGGAGGATTGTGTGAATTGCCTTCAGCATCTTGACTCCAAATCTTAACAAAGTAAAAGAAGAAAGGAATTTAGGAAAACAAGTAACAGATATTTTTATATAGATTATTAAGTATTTTTGAAGAACTTATTATCCAAGAAAAACACATCAATTATCAATCCTAATGTACATTTGTCAGTTTTCTATAACTAAGGTGGCTTGCTTCAATATCTCAGCTACTTGTGTGATGTGTGCTAGTTATATTGAAATAAGTAGTATATAACGTGAGTCAGGAATGTAATGTCTGGCAGCAGAAGATTAGGAAGATCAAGAAAGGAAGAACGGGAATAGAAAACAATTAGTATGGAAATGCAAGAACAATAAAGTCCGAGACAATTACTGAACATTTTGTAAATTAAGTATTCTAGTATGGTTTTTCTATTTTACCACGTAACTCTGTAATGTTGTGCTAAATATAATCCGGTTGTCCTCACCTGTGTTCTCCTTCACTACACTTGTTCCTGTCATCTAGATATTTTAACAAGTTATCTGTTTTTGTTTGTTTGTTTGTTTGTTTTAACATATCATTGTGTCTGCTAATCACATAACCTATTCAGTTGCATTTATGACCCTTCGTTATATAAGTTACAAAAAAGCCCAACCAGAGACATCGTGGTAGCTAGTAAGCAATAACATATTGAAAAGAATGAACATTAATTAGAAGTCGATTCCTGAGTTGCTAACATCTAACTGAGGATCATTCACTATTTATCATCAACATCAATCAAGAAATAAGAAAAAGAAACTTCCCAAGCTCCCAACTTTGGGGAAATAGCACTAAAACCCAAAAATTCCCCTTTAACCTTGGTCAAGGCCATTTGACTTTGAGGATTTCCCCAAACATTGGTGAAAGTCATTTGACTTCGGTAGTTTACCCAAAATTGGGAGCTCGGGTTGTTGAAATACTTTGTGTTGAGTATTCTATTCTATACCAAAGATATAATAATGAATAAAGCTAGTAATAATAATAATAAACAAGAAATAAAAAGTTAGTATTTTAATTCAAATTCAGTGTTTTAAGATATCCGAGGAGCAAAGCCTAAACACGAAAATCAACTTACTGTGCATAATGCTCCAGGTTTTAAGGAGAAAGCTCGTGAAAATTTGAAACGAGTCTCGTGACCATCAGCTTCATGAACAAGTTCCCAGCCACCTAAACTCATTTCCTAATAAAAACAAAAATGATCAATAAAACTCACATTCAAATCTGATAGTAATTAGTAAACTGGCTAGAATAACTAACCATGAAAACAGAAAAGAATCAAGAATGTACTCAGGGATTTGAAGGTGATTGATAAGTTCACTTACGATAACCTACGACCTCATGGGGCTCGTTTGCTCCACGTGTATGGCTTACCAAAGATACATAAAAAACGTGTTCCTATTATACCTATTTTGTCAATGGTCAATTCACCCTATCAAACTGTTGCACGATGATTAGTGATCAAGTTGGAACCAGTTCCTCAACAACTAACCATGTACACATTAAAAGATTGATTCATCCACACGTTATTAGTACAGAACAGAAAGGAGCCTACATCAGATTCAAAGAACATACCCCAGAAAAGTATTTAGCAGTGCCAACTCACGATATCTAGACACAGGACATCAAGTCGACACACTGTCCTTCAAAGTGATCATTAAACAACCAAACTCTAATCTTTTGAAATTTGCCGCAGTCATAGTGACCAAACGTCTGAAAACTAGATCCATATGTCCAAAAAGAAAGAATAATAAATCCTTCTTTGCCTTGGGAACATTACATCCTTTTTATTGCATTATTCATTATTTCAATTTTTTTCAAGTTTGATTACATTGTCGTTTTTCTTTAGTTAGTTCATAATTGACTGATTTCAAATTACATCTTGCATTATTACCATTAATCAGTTTTCAATTACATTATTACACAATCATCTTTATTTATTTATTTTAACACATAGATATTGGTACAACGAGGCACCAAATACATATGCGCCACATAAATCTCATTTAATTTGTGTGAGGGCTGATACTGGCCGGGTGCCCAAACCGAACACAATCATCTAAGGTTTGTTAGTTAATTCAATGATTTCTAATCACTAGTTTAATGTTTTTTTGGAAATTTCCCTTTCATACTTTATTTACTTATCAGAAAGTTTTTTTATGATCTTATTAACTCTACTGAAATATTCGTTATATCATGAAACGCAAATTCATCTCTAATCATCTTCATATCTATGAGTATGTTAGTGTCTATGAGAACTTTTGTTTTAAAATATTGTCAGTTTGAAAGCAGTTGATGAAAACCTAACGAAATGAGATAAATTCGCACTGATCTTTGTTTTTGCTCTCTGTAAGATAATAAAGGAAACTATGTGTATTAAAACAGATTATCCTCATAAATTAACTGGAATATTTTTATTATGATCTGTGGTGTTTTGCAGTTGCTTCAATGATTTTAAGTGCCCTGTATGCCAAAAGATGATATAAATCAATTTTACCTCTCAAAATGTTATTATGAAGCTGAGAGTTTATAATCTCTTGAAGGTTAGTCTAACTCATTGAAATATGAGCGGATAACAATCGCTTAAAACATGGCAGGTTTACGAATATGAGCCTGAAAATATCAATTTCAAAACAATGATATAATTGAACTTCATGACAAGGGGAGGAAGGCGTGTATAATGAATTCGGTCGCCAGATACCATTACATTTTTATAATATAATTCCTGCATTGCTTCATGGATTAGATCCTCAGTTCAGGAACTTGAAACGTGGGGACGTCAATTAAACAATGTACTTCAATTTGAGTGTCTCCTTTTACCTATGCAGATTAAGGAACAGCAAAGTTTCTCTAGAATTCTAGGAAATCTACCTAACAAAGTTTGTTTCATCTTAAAGACTGGTACAGCAGATTTTGTCTTTCGATTTGAAGAGAATGTTTTGTGTACCTACCTACTTGAGGACACTAAGAAATCGGTGTCTGACTTTACAAACGACATAAAAACCAAGATAACAGTGTTTAACTGAATTCTCGCTGAAAGTCTTTAATGTCGCTACTAAATTAAAAGATCCGCATAGCACACTAAACATAAGGATTTGAAAATGAAATCTTCAAAAAACTTCACAATGTGACTCAAAGATGAGTACATGACGCCGTACTTAGTGAATGAGTTAAACTATCTACTTAGTCAGGAAAAGAATGTGGCCTGTACGCAATGGAGTTTGAGTTACATGGTTGAATAAACGTTTTAACAAAAAGCGTTGAACAGATATTGACAGATCAGACATCCAAGTATGGGAGAGGGTCAACTGAGTTGGAAATGATTATTCGGGGAGTGGTCTGACGAAACTTCAGCAAACCGTTTTTAGTTATGAAAATATCGAAACCAAGTCACACTTTTTATCTGCTTTTGCTGTTTAATTATGCATAGTAATTGCACGAAGTCACGCATTCATCAAGGCGTAAAATTCACTGTGAAGTTTGACTGCTGAATCAACAAGGTGGTTAGTGCACTTTCGTTTTCGCGCATAACGCTAATTGAGGTTTCACTAAGTATAGACCATCTTTATGTGAGATCCTTATTTTTACTGCATACAAACACGTGATAGATTTACACTGTCGTAATCAATCTTAAATCGCTAGTAGATATCAAGTTCACCTTCAAGACGACGGTTTTAATTTATCCTTCCTTTTTAGTCATAACACATAAGCTTTAATGCACCAAAATTTACCTAAAAACTACCGATAATTAGTCAGGCGATACCGAAAGTCTGTTTTATCGTAATACGCGTCTATAGAGCGTTAAACGAAGCTGACTTCTGTCAAGACTAAACCTAAAATGATCTGCTACTGATAGCAAAAACGCAGTAATGAGGAACACTTGAATGTTATTGAAAAAATGTAGCTCGTTTTACGTAAGTGGTCAGAAACGTATTAATTATGTTCACGGAAGGATTTTGAACCCGTAGTCTGACGTAAAAACCTTTAGAGAGCTAAATGGTTTTCAAGGGTGAAATATAACTCTAAACGTATCTTGGGACGTTAAAACACAAGTTGACGTAAACTTAGTATAGTATATGAAATTCTTAATCATTATTTTTAGTGATTATTTAGATTCATACTACTTTTTCTCTCTGAAAATTCCTATTTAAGATCACAAGTTAGTCTTACATCATTTGAAGAGTTATGTATTTTGATCCACTTGCCATGGGTATCTTGTTCCTTGAAAAATTCTACAGGTCCACGTGCAGTCGATGACACTCGGTAGGCAAATCTTGTTCGGGATGAACTGTAACTGGCTCCAGTTAGACTGGCATTCGACTCATCACCCTCAAAATCTCCATCTACACGCCTGCGTTTGACCGGTATGTTGAACGGTGAGTCACGGGGAGCCGGTGTCAGGTTGAGTCTGTAAGACAAGATGAAATTTGATACACTCCAGTAACCGACAATATTCACTAATGTGGTTTTTATATAATGCTAATGACAGAAATGTTGTTAGATGGGGTGAGAAAAACTAATAATAACTTTCTAAAGCTATTATATAGAATAATACTGAAACAAATAGTTATTCACAAGGTAGGACCTTGTACAAATATACGTTGATTTGAGTTATCACATCTGATACAAACAAAGCAAAACTGTAAAGGACTGAGAATAATAATACCAGCAACAATGTAATGTTATTATCACCACCCTTCACAGTCACTTTGTGAATACTACTAAGAACATCTCTATATTATGAGTTTCGTTTGATCATTAGTTACTTAATGAGTTTTGATGTGATTTCTTGATCCACTTACCTAGCTTTAAACATTAGTCAGTTACATGTAAGATCTGGGATATGCATATTGGTTCAATTCGCCGTACTACATCAGCGCAGCGAGATGTCAGAGTAGAAGTTACGATACCAATAACAGTAGGAAAGGTCAACCATAGACAATATGGATCGAGAAAAAAGTATGAGATTATTTTGAAACTCGTGGTTTAAGGAAAGCCAAAAAGTGGATGCATCTGTGTCATTAGAAGCGATCATGAGCAATACTCTAATTTGAGTATACAACGAGTAGGGTTGCTTGATGCTTGAATATGTTCGCATATCCGACTGAAGCTGTGATATAGAAGGCTCGACTAGCTTTTGCCAACTTGCGTCACTTATAGCGTAGGCGAGAAATCCGTCTACCAACCAAAGGACGGGTTTACTGTGCAGCAGTTCGTTCCGCCCTTTTTTATGACAGTGAAACATGGCCGGTAAGAGTAGAGGATATCCGTAGGTTACTAGTGTTCGATCATAGGTGTCTTCGAAGCATTGTTCGTCTATCCTGGGACCACCGAGTAAGTGATGCAGTTGTTAGGAAACAGGTACTAGGTAAGCATAGCAAATCACTTGATCAAGTAGTGAAACTTCATTAGTCGAGATGGCTGGGACATGTGTTACATATGCCCAACCACCGACTGCCCCGACGAGCGATGTTTTATGGTGTATGGTATGAGTAGGTTGGAAGAAAGCTAGGGGCGACCAGACCAAAACATGGCACAAGTCCATGAAGTCACTGACAAGTGAACTGAGCCATGTTGGTAGGTGCAGACTACCTGGTTGGGGACCGCGAGATGATAGCAACCGATGGTTAGAGACGTTGAAGGACACGGCTCAAAATCGTTTGCAATGGCGCAGGTGCATCCACTCTTTGTTCTCCCGAATTCTAATGTTCTGAATTCTTCATGTCCCTTTTTTCCTCTTTCCAAATTTATTTCACTGGATTATATTCCTTGAATAACATCTCCAAACCCTAATCTTCCCGACTACTGCTTATACTCTTACTACCTCTACCACTACGGGATTTGAATCGATAACTGCATCTCTGTGCTAATGTGGTATGGCAACTTAAACTGATGTACGTACGTACGAAGTTCCACGTTGGACGACTAACTGACTGACTGTGATTTACTGATTATGTAACTCAACTGCAAACTATTGAATCTCAAGTCTACCATTGTCTGAATCTATTATGGTCTGAGTAGTATCAACATAAAACAATAAGACCCGAAACAAATATTTATTGATTCATGTTACCATAATTTAAACCACGATATCGGTAGGAAATTGGCAAAATAGCAGTGGCGTTGATAGTAACATTTCAGCATGGAGAATGTAGTTTGCACAAACCAAATGAAATCGATTAGTAAAAAGCGTGACAGCGTTAAGTTTCAAAGAAACTACGAATAATAAATGTATTTGCTCCACTAGAGTCAGTTTTCAATCAAGTCATATAAACGTCTCGAGCACTGGTTCAGAGGATAATCACGCAGACCATAATACAAAAATCCACAATTCCTAACACAGTTCAAGTTAAGAGTGATTTCATGCAAAGATGACAAGTTTTAGTTTGACAGAGAACAATCTTTACAAAACTTGCTTTCATATCAACCAACAAGAAACGACAATGTAAACGGTGTTAGACAATGTGTAATACATATTGATGAGGTTTCTCAACTTAATTAATATACCATCTTGGCTGGTTACTCTGTCTAACCACACCAGTACTCACTTCGGGACACAAATCATCAGATACATCTAACCGAGTTATGCTTCACACATACAACGATCACCCTTTGCCTTTTTAAGGTGATAATTAACTCATCGTAAAGCAAATTTGCCCTTTGTGAAGAACAAACAATCATATCATGTGCGGGAGGGGTGTAAACAACCTCCTTGTCGGCATTTTCACAACAATCATGAGTAATATTCGATGTTATCAACGAAAATCAGTAGTGATGGAGATAATGCTTTCATTTTTAACTTTTCCTTGAGCTCAATATTAATTTATTACTCTTATTCTACCATCTAAAATGTTTCCTTTAAACAACACCCCAGTTTAACTTTGCAATATTAACGTATATAATCTCAAACAGTTATGATGAGGGATAGGGACTTCGACAGAGGCACATTTATATGAGGACCTACGTCACATATCATTGACTGACCACTAATTTACCAATAATCTCTGGTTTTTAAAAACTCAGAAATCTAAATTTTTGGATTTATAGTTTGAGGAAAGTTATTGCTACCACTTACCTTGATTCTTCACCCTCTAACATTTTTCGATACATCAATATTTCTTGATCTAACGCAATTTTTGTATTCATGAGGTCGGTAAATTCACGGAAACTTTCTTCCAATTCTTCTTTTAATCTGTTTACTTCCTGGCGTTGGAAAAGAAGTTGCGATTCGAAATCTTTCCGTTCATCAGTTAACTGCCGCTCAAGATCTGCTACTCGTCGTTGAAGCAATTCCAGCTCAGCGATTTTCTTGGATAAATCGTGGGAAAGTTCATCAGCACGTTTGCGAGCTATCAACAGCTCAGATCGCTGGCGACTAGCATCTTCTGCACTAAAATTAGCTGATGACTTCAACTGTCCCAGTTTGCTCTATAACAGAAAAAAAGTTAAGAAACGTGCATGCTGAAATTTTTAGTTTGAATAAATCATCTATTGTCAATAAGCCGAAAATATTTGCTGACAGAAATTTATAGAATTGGTGAAATATTAGGACGTACAAGCACATAATTAGAACGACTCGGGCTCGGACGGATTTTACGCTATTCCACTGTTGCTCTAATATAATCATCACTCACTTTATTAATTAAACAAAAAATAAGACTTGTGTCTGGATGACACTCAGTTTTTGATTTCCGTCCCGACTGTAGCTGCTACCTTGACGTGGTGGTTGGGCTTGCCTATCGTGATGACCCAACCGAGCTATATTGTCTGGAACATATGTTCCAGTATGTTCTATCATGCCAGGCAGGTTGATTGGAGAACGGTAAGACTAAAGGCAGGAACTCAAAGTCTAAGGGCGAAGTCGTACTACTGACTGTAGAGGGGTATGACAGCAGTAAGGTGTTGCCCTGGTATGGCAACTTAAACTGGTGCATGTACGTACGAAGTTCCACGTCGGACTGATTGACTGACTTTTGGTTTCTGTATAAAACATTTGTTAGTGAACTAGGTTAAAAGGAATGCACCTGAAACAGTAGAAACATCTCTTTGAACCATATTACTTACCATCAGTGAGGTTGGTCAAAACTAGTGAGTTTTAAAAAACGAAATGTCTTAAAATGTACAAATCAACTGATCAAGAACTTGAGTACAAGCTAAAACACAGTGATGGTTAATGACACTACCTGATTACCTAAAACGAAGTACGCTAGGTGAGATTCACACCTAGGACTCAGTGACTGAAAGTAGAACACTAACTACTAAGTCACTGCGATGAGACTATAATCTATGAACGACCTTTGAGCAACGCCAAAGTGACTTTGGGATGCTCATCTAACTAATAGGGTTGTATATTAGTGCGGTGAACCAGGATCGATATTTACAGCTGAACGTCAGGGTTAGGAATTAGACCCAACGTTTTCACCACAAACTGACATCAACTATAATGCCAAAATGGTATTTAGCCAAATGAGTGATTGAATTTTGCGCCAAAATCCAAGATCTGTTATCTTAAATTATAGTATTGTCAGTCACTGTTCCAAGTTGGCAGTGAGATGTGGATAAAAATTTAGGTCGGGAAGAAACAGGTCATTGAACTATACTTCGCGAATAAACTACACAATGATGAAAACAAATAATTTCCCTCAAAATCAAGAAGAATAACTTGAAATTAGGATTATTAAGTAAAGAATTAGTAACTTCTTAGTAATCCAACATTTCTGTATACATTTCGCTTTGAATACTATATATATATATATATTCGACAATTACACTAGTGATTACTTAGTACCGTTTATAAAAAGAAGTAATGAGTGGAATAGGGCTTGAACATGACAGCATTGTTATTTGGAGCCAAAACTAATAGCTAATACGAAATAGCAGCCCTCAAAATTCACTCATACATAATAAATTGTATGGAAGTCTAATTGAAATCCTACATGAATTTTGGCATCATAGCTTGTTGTTTATTCTGTCGTGGATTTAGAAACCTGAACATGAATTTCGCAATATGTAAACAATTCATCTGGACAGTTGTCAGTAGCAATAAGTCAAGTGCTGTTACTATAAACAAACAAGACTTTCACTGTGGGAAATGTCTACTAAACATCACTGTCTTCTCGCATCATGGGTGTTGTTTACGAAAATGAGAGGACGAAATGCGAATGTCCAGTCGTTGGTCACCGGCTTCCATGGGACTGCATCTCCTTACGACGCTCCACTGCCTTGTGGATTAGACCTTCAGGTCGAAGGCTCCGGGTGTGGCCCCCTAAGAAAACCACCTGCTTCGGTTTGGGCACCCGAGCAGTATCACAGTCCTCACACACATCGAATAAGATTTATGTGGCGCATATGCATTTGGTGCCTCGTTGTACCAATATCTATGTGTTCAAATAAATAAACAACACATTTAATCATGTACCTCAAACGTTTCTTCCATTTGTATTTTATACTCTTCTAATTCAGAAGCGGTTTGATCTCGAATTGATCTTAGCTCCTCTGTCAATCGACTTTCGTATTCAGCTTGTTTGCGTCCTTCGACCTCTTCTTCAATGTATAAACTGCGTTCAACTAACTTTTCACGTTCCTGGAAGAGATTTACAAATAAGGCGGACTTACTTCATCGAATAACCGAGAACGGAAATCTAACTGCTCTTTAAGGCCGAGGATTTTGTTTTCCAAATCAGTCCGAAGTAGTGTCTCGGCCTCAAGGTCTCGTTTCATTTCTTCGAACCGTTTTTCTAAAACATGGTAGTCACTAAGGAGAGGCTGTGAGATAAAATTTTAAGATTATTACAATCTACCTGGTAAGCATCATGATCTTGTTTATATTTACTCAGTTCCCTTTCAAGATTTTCTATCTTTCTCTGTAAATTACGATTCTCTTGATCTCGTTTGTTCGCCTTCATCTTTACGTCATTCAACTCATCTCTCATTTGCTTGGAATCTAGCTCGGCTTTTGACTTTTGTTTAGCCAGATCATCAACCAAATTTCTTAAGGCTGTAATTTCATCTTCATATGTTTTCCTGGCTTCCTCAACTTTACTCTGCAAGAATTGTTCCTGAATATAATGCTAGTTACCATTCGTTCTTCTGTAACGGTCTGTATACGTCTAGTAAGCTTTTGTTTGTCAAGCTCCAGTTTTCGAACGTAGTCGATGTATCCCGCAAGGCGATCATTCAGATGGGCAAGTTCATCTTTTTCTTCAGATCGACTAATAGTCAAAGGGCTACTAGATCTTTCACTGCGAGAATAACTTTTGCGAGGACTTCCACTTGATGATGTATGGCTGCGTTCAATCGTAACGGATCGAGAGAACGATGTCGGACTACTTTCGTTTTTCTCAGACTCCGCAGCTTTTTGTTTTCTGGCTCGAGCGGACATGTCACTAACGATGAAATTCGTTGTAATGCAAAGTAAAGTTAGTGATCAACTTTGTAGAAACGATAAAAACTTATTCAATTCAACAGAAAGACGATTAACTATTGTAAGATAATCTAACGAAGTTTAGTCTACTCTTATTTTCGGGTAGTTATATGTCTATAGTATTATGGAGTTATCTAAGGATATACTTTAATCTTGAGTATTTGAAAGTCATTTGATGATCAAATTTCATATGTACAGAAAACATGTTAAACCCCAGTTTTTATGACAGCGATACTAATTGGCTGCTAAACAGAACCGAGAGATAAAAGTGACCTAATATCAAGTAATATTGGGACTAACACTAAATACGGAAACCACTGATATTCAAGAACAATTTATACGTTGAGCTATTTTTAGAGGTTATGAATGACAAAGATACGTTAGATGTGACTACCAGACAAAACGCACTGAACATCGTCAAAGTATATTCACTGAGTACGGTTTCTGCACTTGTATAGGTCACTTTGCGGAAATTGTAATATAATGATTTACTAAGTGAACTTTTCTTTAATATGAAGTCCGTAAAGAAACTCAGTAATAACGTTTAGGTTAGTAAACTTAGCTATGAGTCAAATCACAGAGAATTATTGGTTTTATAAGACTCAACAGGATTCGTTGAAATGTTAAATACGAAAACGTATGATCCATAAAGTACTGTGAAGGACAAAGTGCAGTCAATAAAAGAAATCTTGGTGAAAAAAATCGCAAAATAAGAAATAGTTCAGCTAAATACACATCCAGGAGATATTTTAGCTGAAGTAGTTCCCACTTTATAAAGTATTTATAGGAAAACTACAGCTGGATTCCCACTAGTTTTTTAATCTGGACAACATATGACGTCTGGTCACTGGCACGATGGTTCAACTCACCGCCTAGTGACCCACTTACTAGTAGTAAAAACCTTAGCAACTTGAACTGATACACACATGTTCTAGGCTGCCATACGCTATAAAGTGCAATTTAGTGGTCGATGTTGCCAGATGGTGTAATTAGCAAAAGGGGCTTGGGAATCATGAAATATATGTCAATTTCCGGAAGCATTGGGCGATCGGAAAATGCCAGAATTGGTGTGAACAATCTGTAATTTACAAAATCTGTCGATATTTCGCACTAACAAAAACAAATGAACTATCTGTGAAGCTTTCCTGTTTTACAAAGGATTTTTTGCACTTGGGAACTGTTAATTCTTTTGCAGCACTTCCTTGTGTTGTGAATGCAACAACATAATGTCTTGATTGCTGTCTTTTTTACCCTTCACAATCAATACATTCAGACACTCCCAGAAGTTACTACGAGTTTAATGAGCGTTGTAACACTAATAATAAGGGAAGATGTTATACACTATTAAAAGGTCGAAAGTCATCGAAATATGATGACTTATTTGTTATTCTAAATCGACATAATTTTGACATGCACACTTAAATAACTGGAGAACATAGGCACCGGCAAAAGAATACTTACGACTTAGATAACGTGCACCGGGTTCTTGAGAATCCAAAAATAGTACAGGTTATAGAACATATAAACAACAGAAGTTCAAAAGAACAAAAACAGTAAATCTCAGAGTTTTGATTAACCTTCAAATACTGTTTGCCTGAATAAGATAATATTTGTTTCCAGCATTTTTCTCAGTTTTATTGTTTCAGTTAATATACAGGTCTATTTATCACGCTACCCATACGAATTGAAAGTATGGAATTGTAGGTGATCGTATTGCCGCATTGCATGTTTCAGACTAAAGTTTTAAGAATATAAATTTTTGGCCAAGGCTTTTCTAAGTAACCGTTTTTAGTCTTCAATCTTTGTTGGCAATGAGAGGAGTTCTACCGACATTTTGGTCTTTGAAATTTATAACACTGTAGGGGTCCTGTCTGGCTTTGAATGTTTCAACAGGTGCTGATACTACCACCTACCCTTCGAGTAATAGTATTTTATCTGACATGCTTTCCACGGGTCCATGATCCTTTATATCATCGGCGAAGAGTAGGACATATGACTTTGCTACAGTCGGTCATTTACACGAAGTAAAAAAAGGAGAGGACCGGGGATTGTACTTTGAAGAACTCCATATTTTACAGATTCCTATGCTGAAAGAGCCTTATTTACCCGTACACTCTGTCCTCTACCATTTAGAATGTCATTTATTCATTATATGATTTCATAATGGATCCGTAAACTTTCCAGTTTTAATTTAAGACCCAAGGGCATTAGATCCATGAACATTACATCCACAGGAATATTTTCGTCATTTCCTGCAGCTCGATCTTCTCTTGTATTGAACAAATTTGTCAAACATGAAAGGCCTACCCTAAAACTTAGTTGTTCCCTCGATAAAAGATTGTTCCGTTCCATATAGTTATAAATAGCCATCCGAATAACCAATTCCATTAGTTCGACAACCACACTAGTTAGACTAACCGGTCAGTAGTTACAAACCAAATCTCTGCCCCCAGACTTATACACTGAACTGGTTGTTGTATCTTTCTGGTCTCTTGGAAGCCTGAGTTGCCACAGAGACGTCTCGAGCAGTATGTCTAGAGGTTCAGCAATTACGTCCGGCAGGACTTTCTTAATCCTTGGATGAATATCGTCAGGACCACCGAACTTATCGTGTTTGAGACGTTGGAGCAATCGTAAGGCAGTTCCTCTCTCAATAATTAGAGGATTCATCGACAAGCTGATATTATCATAATTAATTGTTGGTCGTTCCGCATAGCAGGGAGAAAATACTCTGCTAAAATATTCTGATAAAGCTCTGTCATTTGTGATACCATTTCTTGGCAACATCTATGGATTTTCTTCTATGACAAGTAGTACGGTCCCACCGCTCCCTAAAGTTAGCCTCTTTATGTACGAGAATAACCAAGTAGTTGCCTAGGTTCGTCAATAAATCGCCCTGATCACCTTCATTATATAAATTACATAAATCGCGCAAATTTAAAGTCGAGAGGTGAGTGTATATATGCGAGTGCATACAGAAGCAAATGTATAGTCAAATCGAATCAAGGCTCAGATAGGAAAGGCAAAGTCTAAGAACAGAATCTGAGTATATATATATATATATATATATATACATCGAAAACGGAACAACTCATTGAGGAATGTTAAAGTGATTGACATTTTAGCTAGAGAGATATGTGCGTAGACTGTCACATGTGATAATAACAGTACAAAGAAAGACAAACTGTTGCTACTCGAATAACATTGTCTTATAAGCTTAACAAAAATTAACCTTATCAAAATAGGTTGTAGGAGAAGTGCCATCACCCTTTCAGGCTATTTTTGCAATCTCCAAACAATCATTTTTCATAAGAATATCTAGTCTTACTTGCCAACGCATTACAAGCGTTCTTAGTTTTACAATTAACTGATCTATACTGTTCTGAGCTTGGAGAGCTGAAGATCTAAGTAGTTTCCTGACTTGCTTAGTTATCCATGATGGACAGTTGTTTGATCCATGTGGTACTTAGTATGGTACAAACGGATAAGTTACTAAAATAAAAGTACCTTTAAATATAGGTCGTGCTTCCTGAACTGTTGAGCTAGTATTTACTAGCTAGTCTGTTGTTGCGACCCGCTCATAAATGGCCAGTATGTTTGCTCTCAGCATATTTGGGTGAGGCTTAACCTGGCAGTATATCATGTCACAAGCCCTGAACATGAATGATGAAACAGCATGATAACTGTACTTTAGTGATAAGAGAATATTTAGATGGGCGATATCCTCGGTTTCATGAGTGATTACGAATTCTAACAAAGATTCTTGGTTCGGACTAAAAAGTGTAGGTCCGGATACTTGTTGAACTAAGGTATTCCTCATTACCGTTATCATGAACCTGTAGCGGTATTGCTTTCTAACAAAACCATCATTGAAGCTGAGCGCATAATCGCTGAGAAAATATACATTTAACATGTAACACGGAAAGTCAACAATGGTGAACGTGAGAACAACCGATCGGTATGTTATGGCTGAGCCATGACTGGACGAGTTGATACAGAGAATTATTTGACTTTCACGTAAGATCTTATAGATTGAGTAGTCACATCATAACAAATCTACATTTATTGGATTAGGTTTATTATTACAGTAACAAAGATAAATGTACTAATACGAACTAGAAAATAATACAACACTGTCACTATAATGGACTACAACTAAATACACTTAAGACTGGCCACTGAAATAAAATGCATTGTGCCGTGATGTGCGACATGTCTGAACTGATAAAAGGCTGGAGTATAAGGCCGAATGAATGTTTGGTTATTTCGGAGGAATGACAGAGGAATGTTAAACTTTCGCTAACAATAGAAATATTTGTATCATCAAAGTTTCATAGGTTTCATAACATTTTTCAAACACAGCCGTGTTGATGTCATAAGGCTTTTAAATATTTGCTTAGCATTTTTATAATTCTAGAGATCATAAGATTTTTACGATAGTGTATTAGGGTGGCAAAACATTTGGAGTCGAAAGAATGTGGTTGTCAATACAAGTCCTTGAAGATGCCACATGTATTTGGAGTTTGATAAGGCTTTAACCAGTAATATCTTCTACTATGAACCGTACCTACCAACTGAAATCCAAAGACAGGCGAGGAGGTTCATAGATATATTGGATATGCTATCAACATATCGAGAATCGACCGATTTAGGCTGCTTAGCGATTGTAGGGTATGTTGAGCACGGCGTTCCCACTCGTGATCTGGTGCGGATGCATGACCAAGCCCCTTCAGCAAGGTGAGTCTGTAGTGGCATTGGACAATAGCCACACAATCCACAAAGCTGTGAACACGAGACTACTCAGAAAATTGATATTCAATATTTAACTCCGGGAAATACCTAACAATGGAGAAGGCGCAAACAATGAATTGAATGGACTGGAGTTGATCGAGTGGCATGGCTCGGCCATGCAGGCGTGGTCTCTGCTAAATGTTACCTTATATCTTCTATTCATATTA